CTAGAATAGTACTGGGCAGTAGCACTTTCTCTTATGTTGGAAATGTTCTGTGTCTACTGCCCAGTATGATAACCACTGGCCCATTTGGTGCTTTTGTTTTTTGAGACAGAGTCTCACTTTATCACCCTGGTAGAGTGCTGTGGGTTTACAGCTCACAGCAACCTCAAACTTTTGAGCTCAAGAAATCCTCTTGCCTCAGCCTCCCGAGTAGCTGGGACTACAGGTGCCTGCCACAAAACCCAGCTATTTTTAGAGACAGGGTCTCGCTGTAGCTCAGGGTGGTCTTGAACTCCTGAGCTCAAGTGATCCACCCGCCTTTGCCTCCCAGAGTGCTGGAATTACAGGTGTGAGCCACCACACTGGGTCTCATGGTGCTTTTGAGCACTTGAAATGCGACTAAGGGAACTGAAGAACTGAATTTTACATTTTATTTAATTTTAGTTGATTAAAAGTTAAATAGCTACCTGTGAATTATTTGCTACCATGTTGGACAGTACAGGTCTACAATGTATTGGTTGGAAATAGTTGGAAGCTAGCACTAAAGGTAGGGTGATTAGCTTGCCTGGGACTGAGCAGTGTCCAGGGATGCTGGACTTTCAGTGCTAAAAATGACAGAGTCCCGGGTAAACCATGATTATTGTTAACCCTAGCCACGAGTGGGTGGTATTGGGAACTTTAGTTGTCACATTTCTGAAACAACTAAGTCTACTCAGCTGCCTCCTGGGCTGCTGGCTATGTCATGATTTGTAGCTTGGAAAGAACTCTCTTTCTTGGCACTAGGGAGTTAGAAAGCAGAAAAGCAACACGATTCTGGAAACACATGCTCTGCCTGACATTCTTCTTGTTTTCTCCACCATCTTTCTTTTTCTTCCTTTTTATCCTGTTATGGTGGTGGTTCCTCAACTTGGCTTATATGTTGGAATCATCTGGAGTGCTTCCTTTATTTATTTATTTAATTTATTTTTTTACATATACATATGTTTATTTGGTTTCCACTTTTTGCCTTCACAAAATAAAAAAGGCTTAAAATATAATAACAATAACAATGTTAAAGATAAGGACTAGAAACAAAAACCTCATAAAGAATGAATGAAGATAAATACATTCAGAAAAGAAATCAAATGATTGCTGCAATGAAATATTGAGCAATAATAATGCAAAAAAAAGTAACATTCACATTGTCAAATAAGAGTATATCTGTTATAGAATGCTTTGACTCTGAGGTTCAGTATGGAGTCATCAGTTAATGTCTCATTTTTTCTCCAGAGTCTCAAAAAATAGAATGTAGAATGATTTTGAAGTATTTCTTCTTTTTCTATTGTCTATAAGATTTGGCCTGATGTGTTTTTTGAAATTATCTTTTACTTATAAATATTAGTTGTCCATATTTTGAGCACTTCTAAAAGTGAACATATATGTAACATATGCATATATGTTACATATATATGGATGCCCAAGCTCCACCCGGTCTGTTGAGTCTCGGGATGGGAGGGGCAGGACATCTGTGTGATCTAAAAGCTCCCCAGGTGATGCTCTTGCACAGCAGGGACTGACAGGCACGGCTCTCAGAGGTGCATCCACCTCTTGGCTGCCTTTTTTACTACAAGGAAACTGCTCGAGTTGATCTTTAGCCTCCTTTCTCTTCCCTTTATTTGGGGGAGGATGGCAACACCCTGGATTTCAGAAATTTTTCCAGTCTGCCATCTTTCCTTCCATGTAGGACAAAAGTAAGACAGAGACTGAGAGCATTGTGGATCAACCTGATTCCTTTTGTCACGCACATAGACACGATGTACTTGCTGTAGCATTATTAATAACCATGCCTGAACACTCTTACATGTGGTAACACGTTTGCTCTTAATAACATCACTCTTAGAGATATATAATCATTATTCCTATTTTGCAGATGAGGAGCCTGAGACTCAGATTAGCTAACTTTTGCCCAAGGTCTGCTAGCCAGTATAAATGCTCAGGCTAGGATAAGGTTGTGCTTTTTAATGACATGTCTCATATGACTTTCTAGTACCATGGAATATACTATACCTATAAACCTGAGAGGTGAAATCTTCTCAAGCTGTGGATGTCATACGTGATAGAAAATGGGTCAGATTCATCTCTTTGTGTGCATTGGTTAATTCAGGGTTTGGAGATCTCTCATCAAATGGCTTGAGCTGGGCAAGCTCACTGTTTCAAATTTTTAAACTGTGAGCCTGTTTTGAAACAATAAGAAGGCATCCTCTGTGACCCCCCTAACATTACCAAAAAAGGAGCTGAATAATATATAGCACTTAATATATAGGTCACTTCAGTTTTGCCAGTTTTGCTGAGGATGGGGTTATCTATCTATTCTCTGTGATATATATGTATACATACAAGTGGCCGTGAAATTCGTATGCAATTCACATAGTTACAACTTCTTTAATGTTACAGACTTGAACTTTACGGCCACCCTGTATTTGTGTGTGCGGGTGTATGTATGTGTATGTGTGTTATGTATACGTGTTGTTTAGGGTGGTGAGTTTGGCTTTTTAACTTCAAAGAAGTAGAAGTAAAGAGTCTTTCTATTATGCCTGTTTCCCTAGTTACCGCCTTCTTTTCACCTACTGGTTGAATTTTTTCCATATGTTCCCCTTCCTTTTCTTGTACCTTGCTTTGTTGTTGTTGTTGTTGTTGTTTTTAAATTGTACATAGTCACAAGAGAGCATATTTTCTGTGGTTTCCATTAAAATATGATAGGTAAAGGATTCTTAATTAATGCTTTTCATAAAGACCCAGTAATTGGGAGTCTGTAATGTTTCATCTGGGTTCTATTGGCAGTATAATGGAAGAATAATATCAATATTTTAAAAAGCACTTCAAAGCCATTATCTGATGTTTTAACTAGAGAAACATTATGTATGTCAACATGAGATTATGTTTTTACAAGCCTTTTTTGTTTGGTTTGTATGTCTATAAAATAGGTCACCAATAATAGAGGATTAAATCCATTTTGATTTTTTTTCAACTTTTTAGGTATGTTTAAATGTCAAATAACCTAAATCAAAGTTGTGTCAATAGGCTTGGCACCTGTAGCACAGTGGTTATGGTGCTGGCCACAAACACTGAGGCTGGCCAGTTTGAACCCAGCCAGGGCCAGCCAAACAGTAATGACAACTGCAACAGAAAAATAGCCGGGCATTGTGGTGGGCACCTGTAGTCCTAGCTACTTGGAAGGCTGAGGCAAGAGAATCACTTAAGCCCAAGAGTTTGAGGTTGTTGTGAGCTATGACTCTATGGCACTCTACTGAGGGCGACATAGTGAGACTTTGTCTCAAAAAAAAAAAAAAACCCCAAAGAAAAAGTTGTGTCAATAAAATATCTGTATATATATTTTTAAACAATATTAGATATCATAATAAGATTGGGGACCATGATCATAGACTCCCCAATGACACAAGTGCATAGTTTTAGGATCTGTCACTTAGTTCTTGTTTCTTTCTGTTAAGAAGGAGGGCACATTTCATTGGTTTTTCAGATAGAAAGGTAATTTTAGTTCATGCTCAGGCTTTGGAGCATGTGTGGTGGGGCCAGTGAGGAGCTGGTGCACAGAGGTCTTCATTCTGGGGGGCAAGTCATGTCTTTTCTCTTGAAGAGATAATTCTTTTCAAAAGGGCTGTATCTTTACATATTCATAAACATACATCTATTTTGTGGACTAATTTTCTAGGACTTTTTTCGGATGTGGCTTCAATAAAATTGCCCGTTGATTCTTATTGAAATGGTTATGGGGTGTTAATAAAATTCCTGGCCTTTTGGGTTGTAATCCCATAAGTATTTGTCAGTTTGAATTGAATTTTCAGTACTTCTGTCACTGTAGCTATTCTGAACCCTTTGGATCACTGTGGAAGGAAAAAAGACCAGGTACTTTACCAGGTTAATCATCTATTTCTGGAGTGTTTTTTGTCCTAGTGGCTAGACTCATACATTTCTGGAATTAATGACCAGATTCTCTGGGATGTTCTTGAAGCTGTTGGTTTCAGATTTTTAATTTCTGTCTTTAGATTATTCATAGGAATAGGAAGCTCTGTCTTTTTTTTTTTTTCCTTAAAGAAAAACTGAGGGTCTTTTTTGTTTGTTTGTTTTGGATTGTTTTGTAGATAAATTCCAATGCAGTGTTTTAGAAGATTGGTATTCGCTGTTTCCCTGGTGCCAGTCTAGATGCTGCCCCAGGGTGACGGCAGTGGGAGCCTTACCTGTGGTGTTCTGTTGAGCTTAGGGCATTTTCTTTTCTCCCACTGAATAAACTCTAAATCTAAACTTTATCTTCTCAACAGTGAGAGTTCCTAAAAATGCTGCTTTGACTAAAAGATAAATGTGTGGGGGTTTTGGGTATTTCATTTTTCTGGCAAGGAAGGATTTTAAGTAAAAAGCTGTTTTTCTCCCACAGATTAGGAAAAATTTTTCAAACAATTTATATATGTTCCCATCTTAGTGAGTTGAGCCTGGCCAATTTCTGGTCATGGCCTGATGGATGACTGACAGTCTTCCCCCCAAACAGTTGTTCTTATCTGAATGCTCACAGCATAAACATTTCATTCTGTGAATGAAGGAGACAAGTGACATTGAATTGAATGTACAAACCTATTTTATTTTCTGGAAGCCAATTTTTCCAAACCTCTGATTATAGCACCACATACTAATAGTGCTGGGAGGAACTTTAGGGAACACCCACCTGAATCCTTTCTCAGGACCAGGTGTTGAGCGTCAAAGAGAAGTGACTTGTCACAGGTCTTGGCTGCAGGGTCTTCCTAATGACCCGGGGAGAAATGCGGTTCAGTTTGGGCCCACTTCTGCTATGCTCTTTTTTTCTCCCTTACACTTAAAATTGGAAGTCCTTCTTTGGCCTCTTTTCCACTCTTCCCCAACCTAGTAAGTAGACAGTGGGAATCAGTTGGGTCCCCAGGTTTCCCTACAGTAAACTTTTGGTAGTATTATAATGTTGCTTTTCTTTTCTCTTTTAGCAATTGGCGAATATGAAGACCTTAGAGCAGAGAACCAGAAAACAAAGGAGAAGGTTTGTACTTTGCCCTTTCCCCCTTTCTTACATGTGTAAAAGCCTGGGCGGCATAGTGCATTGTTCAGCCACCGTTTCAGTGAAATGTGAATGAGGGTTTTTTTTTTTTTCCCCCTCCTCTTTTCTTGCATGTGTGGCTCAAGCTGATATCAACTCCATGCTCCAGATGGTAAAGAATAGCAGGCCTGCCACAGTGGGTGCAGCGCCGGGGATTAACTACCCGACTAAATGTGCAGCAAGGCACCAGGCCAAGCAACTCAAGACCTAAGAATTGTACTTTCCCCTAATAGTCAGATTTGGGATTCTGGTGATGGCATGGAAAGCCTGGGACATGTAGCTTTGGGACGTAAGCACGTTAGAGCCTGGAGAGAACTTTTTGGAATTAGTTATTAGTGTTTAACACAAATACCTCCATAATCCTTTTCTGTTTTACTTCCTCTATATATGAACAATATATATCAGAAGTTAAAAAAAAACACCCAGTGTGAAGATGAGGAAGCCTAGTGATATTTTTGGGAATTCTGCCATTTTATTTTTTAACTGTTTAAATCGTTGAATTCTACTTAACCTTTACACATTCTATCCTTTTTGTTGCTGAAAAGGTCTGTTTAGGATTTATGAATATCTGCTGCTATGCATATCCTTGTAGGTTTAAGGAGAGGACAAAGGGAAGGGCAGGCTCAGGTCAGAAAGCAGAAGGACTGAATAGAAAATAAACACTAGGAGCGAAGAAACCCAACTGTCCATTTCTGTTTTTAGGTATAAACAAAACTTACCTTAAAAATTCCTTTGATAGATCAAATATTTCAAAACATAATGTCCCTGGTAGAAAATTAATAGAACAGGTTCTTAGTGATTACTGAAGATGGTCATCACTGCTATAAATTGTGAAACCTCATCTTTTCATTTTCCGAGTAAAAAGGATAATAGAAATAGGCAGTGAGCTAAATATTTGTAAAGCATGTCTTATTTGGGAATATTTGGTGGGCTCTTAAGAATAACATTTGAAACGTTTTCACTCATACTAATTTGCCACTTTCATAGCTGTGGTATGGTTGGTGACATTAACGGTAAGTACTTTTAAAAATGAGTAGTTTTTAGTTCATTATTTTTCACCTAGTTTTAAGATTCCTTGGCTCTTTCACAGAATCTGCAGGATTCTGTGAAACCTTAAGTTTCCTCTCTTCCTTCATCAGGTGATTCAGGGAATGGTAAGTGGGTGATGAAAGTATCCATGGTAGAAGGTGGCTGGTGCACACATATATGATATGGTAACAAGGTCATAGAAAATAGTTTGACAAGAAGATTTTTGCTTCTAACCTTGTGACCACTCCAAATCGCAGATGACTTGAGAATATAAACAGGTAAGGGAGGTTGCGTTTAGATCCTGGGCCGCTGATGCCCCATAATTTCCAAGAGCATCAAGTGGGTGATGCTTAGGCCACGTAGCTTGAGCCTTTTCCCTAAAACACCCAACCATCTTCCTGCTCTGGGAAGACAAAGAGGCTGAGAAGTTATCAACCATTGAGTCTCTTGCAAAGCTGTCCTGTCCCAAGAGGGGAGGGTTAATTCAAGAGAACTCTTTAATGTAACCTAGAAGATAAGAGGAGGGGAAGCAAAATCTGTCTTCATATGACAGAGAAGGATATAGAAGAATAAGAAAAAGAAGATCAAATTTTAATTTATTCTTTCTTTCTTCTTTAATCCTTGCTTACTTAGACACCTAGGAGTGCCCTCAAAATACATAGTTGATGCTCTGTGAACATCTGTTGTTGGTAGGGAGGATGGATGTTTAAGTGAGAGCCACTTTCTGCAGTGAAGTTGTAAGTGAACCATCTGTTATGCACGTGGAATTATAGGTGAAATGCATTTGGTAAAAGAAGGATTACAAATAACCTCAGCCCATTAACTGTTTACACGTTTCTCTGCATAGAGTATGGTCTAATACTTTTGTAACATCTGTAGGCATTATTGACCTGCTTCTGTTCTGATTCTTCAAAAATAACTATTAACAGAAACGAGAAGAAAAGAAATGAAAGCAATATGGAATGTGTGGTTGGGGAAAACAAAGTAAAGTGGTTTTAAGTTCACTGCACTCTGTTTATCTTCCTTTAGGAGACTAGCTTGCTTATTATTGGAGATTTTTCCCCAAAAAGGGGGGCTGTATTACAAAAGAAGGAAGCATATAATAAAAGCCTTTTATAGGGCACAGAATGAGTAAAAAGCAGCTTTAGTTCTGGAGGTGGTAAATGGAGAACACCATTTTCTCTGTGAAAGCACTTTCTTGTTCCTGTCTGGGTGAGCTTTGTCCAGTCAGCATCAGCAAACACTCATGGCCTCCCTGCCCTTGTGGCCCCGAACCAGAGTTCAGTTAAACCAGTCCAGGCTAGCAATCTAACATCAGACTCTTTCTGCCGTAGTTAACTTGATAATGGAGAAATTTTGCACAAATGGGGGCAGCAAAAAAGAATAAATTGCAAGGCATTTCTCTCTTCCACATGTCCAGTTAACTGTCATTGTGTTCAAGTCTTGAACCTTGTCAATGGGAAGTGGCAGTAGACATGATTCCTTTGGTTATGGCCTTTTCCGGCCTTGTTTGGCGTCTTCTCTGTTGAGAAATGGGTGGACATGGTGCTCTTCAGGCAGGATGGCGGCTTGAGCGGCTGTGTTTGCTACGAAGCTGCTGTGAGACGTCCATGTTCTCTCATCTCCCTGGTCTCATGCTCCAGGCGGCTCTGTGGCAGCCCCATTTCACAGAGGAGAGAACAGGAGTGGAGGGCTGAGTGAATTTTTCGAGGTTACACAGATAATTAGTAACAAAGTCTAGATTTATTATTATTTTTTAAAAATGTCAGTAATATGAGGGTATACATGATTACGTTACATTGTTTACATTGGTAAGGTCACACCAAGTTGTAGTTGTGTTCTTCACCCAGGAAGTGTGGCATATACCCGTTTGTTGAGAACTTGCCAAATCTCTCTCCTAGAGTCTAGATTTAAACATGGGTTTTCTGACCACAATGTTCTTTTAGAAGCAGGTAAACTCCTGGGAGCTTGTTGACACTTTTTCCACAAAGGTCCTAATTTTGTTATTAATTCTTTATGGTTAGCACCTGAATTTTTCACAGCAAATCATTAGACTAAGTACTTTCCTAGGTCACTTTTCTTTATCATCTATAGGTTTTTGTTGAAAACCGAAAGTTAAAGTCACATCAATCTTATGTCAGAAAAATTCGCACACGTGTACGTACATGTGCGTATATACACACGTGTGTGTATAATACAGTCAAAGGGTAAGAGGAGGAGATTTGGGGACAGCGGGGGCCCAAGGTTTCAGTGGATCTTTTCCTTTGTAGTATTTATTTTTAGGAGAAATGGAATGATGACCATTTTGTAATTTTTATCAGTGACTTTGAGGATGGAACCAGAATTAGTTTGAGTTTATAAGGAATGATGGGTTTTTCTGGGGGGGGGAACAAAGGGGTTTTTTGTTTTTGTTTTTTTAGAGATAGTCTCACTTTATTGCCCTTGGTAGAGTGCTGTGGTGTCACAGCTCACAGCAACCTCCAACACCTGAGCTTAGGCGATTCTCCTGCCTCAGCCTCCCAGGTAGCTGGGACTACAGGTGTCCACCACAATGCCCGGCTATTTTTTGTTGCAGTTTGGCTGGGACCGGGTTTGAACCCATCACCCTTGGTATATGGTGCCGGTACCCTACTCACTGAGCCACAGGCGCCACCCAGGAACGATGTTTTTGAAGGGAAACTTTTTGTCGAATGCCTTCTGAGTATTTGAGTACAAAGAAAAATACATGAAAGTCCTAATCTTAATTAAGTAAAACCACTCTGAGGGCCACAAAGAAGTTGACCACTAACTGCGATCAGTTATGCTGCTATTAAGTGACTGCCTAGAAATGGGATAGGAAAAGAACAGAAAGGCTGGATTCCTACTCTTTTCCATGCGGCGCAATTTATTGGCCTTTAATGCTTGGCTTAAACGTCATATTTTTCATTTCTTCTCTAACTCTCTTACAAGCAGAATTAATTTTTTTTTGTAATAAAACGTGCATATTTCTTATGTGCTCGTGACATTTATAAACCAAAATTTATTATTATCACAATATTAAATAGGGGCTAAACAAGCAGGGGATAAGAATGCAAAGAACTTGAGATTTTTGTGGGTTTTTAAAAATAACAAGATAAATGGAGTTGATAGAAACGAGGCTACTTGCTACTTTCCACTGTTTGTTGCCCATTTTCTAAATGGAATTATCAATAGTATGTGACAAAGTACTGGGCCAATCATGAAGAAGTCAGCAACTCTCCAAGGCTACATTTTTTGAGTATGGAAATGTAGATGACTATATAATGTTTTATTTTGTTTATGTAGCGATCACTATATTCAAATGTTAGTCATGCTTCTACAATTGGAGGGCTTTCTCTTGTGACTCCCTCAGGATCTTTGTCATAATTGTTTGGGATTTTTTCCTATATGGGGGGAAAGGCCTCATTGAGCTTTCAATGGAATAGCTTTCACATTTCTCCGGGTAGCAGGGGTGTGTGTGGAGTGTGCATAAAAAGAAGGAAATCTGTATAATAGAAGAATGTCTGCCTTTAAACAGTATTTATGTTTAATGTTATGTTCTGAGATTGAGTTTTGAAATGCATAAATGTTTAAGTGGCTGATTAGAAGTCGTTTGGGTGAGCTACTGTAACCGTGCGTCAGGCGGTGCTGTCAGCGTGCCAGGAACAATGAGTGAAAAGAGAAAGAGACAGACACTTTCCAAGACTTACGTTTCAAGGAGCAAGATATATGATACTGTTTGCATCTTGGCTCAGTTGTCTATTGTTAAAATTTCTTACTCTTGTGTAATATTCAGAGGTGAAGGTCCCAAAGTATTTTATTTTTAAAAAAAATCAATAAAGAAGCCACTTTAAAGAGCAAAATATGCATCCATTATGCTAACTGTTCATGCATAATACATCCACATACATGCAGTTTCTTTGAGACAGAGTGGCAAGTGGTTGTGCCAGAGAAAAAGTAATTACTTAGCAGTTTGAAAGTGAAAATGAGTCTCTTATTAACAGCAATCTATCCAGAAACAAAGAGCAAGGATCTCTGTTCTGATGACATGTGTTTCCATCTAATGCACAATACCTAGAATTTGGAGAATGCTGAAAGACAGCTTTGGGGGGCAGCTACTATTTCTTTATTGCCTGTGAAAACTGGAAGAAAGAACAGCAAAAGAGAAAGAGAGTGAAAGAAATTCCATCCTAGTGGGAATGATTTAGTGTATTGTAGCCGTAAAGATAAGTGTGTAGAAATCTGGAAAGCACAGTTGAGTTCTAGCCAAACCTACGTGGGTGGAACAATTGAATTATTGATTTTTATTGAAAATGATTTGGTAGTCCTTTTACTGCATCACCAAGGATTCTAAAACAGGTAAATATGCACATTCTGATGCCATGCATATTTAAATCTTTAGATGTTGTAACTGGACACGAGAGGAACAAACTTCAATAAAAATGGTGCAGGGCTAAACCTCAGATTTAGTGCTGTGGGCTCTGCTCTGTGTTCCTTTACAGTGCAGTATTTCTTTCATTAAATCATGTCCTTATAAACTGCTTATTTCATTCTTAGTCTTTCTTGGTAGATCAGAAGTTTTGTGAGAATACATTGTCTATTCTGTCCCTGTATTCCCCACAGCGTTTAATACTGCCTTGCACTTGTGGGTCCTGTATAATTCAGTTTTCAGAAGAAGGAAATAGGGACACTTGATGATGACAGTAGACACTCACTTCGAAGTCTAATTTAGTCCTCCGTAAAGTTCCTGCCCATGTACAGATTGTCCACTTTCCCGGTGTCATGTGTATGCAGTACACGTATGCACTTCCATGGCCTCGCCATCCCGGGAGGTAAAGATGAACGTTTGTATTAGTGGAAGTTAGGCACTCTTCGGAATGTTGAGGTTTTTCTTGCATAAAATAACACACAGCAGATGCAAAGATGCATTGATTTCTGTACCAGTTTTCTGTATCAGTTACCTATTTCTGCCGAGCTCTTTGAAGCAGGCATTTTAGAGCTGACAGTAGTTGCATGATTTGTGAGGGAAAAGGAACTCAGGTGCCCATTTTGGGAGGAGTGGTCCAGGGAAGATGCCAGTTCACACTTTAAAGACCTTCCTCTGCAAATCAGCCTGCCAGTGCTCTGAAATCCTGGTTTAGTTTCAGAAGCCAGGTATCTGCCTGGATGAGGCTCAAGGAAGAGATTTGGAGAACAGCCAGGGCTTCTAATGTTAAGGGCTTTCAAAACCAGCAAGGCCAACCTGCGGCCAATTCATCTCTTCATAAAGCGCCAGTTAGAGACTCTAGAGTAGATGTAACGTTACCCAGCTTACTCACATTAGCCAGCAGGCATTTTGCTGGGTTCTACTCTAGTCTTGAGCTGCAGAGCATCATAATTAAGTGATGTGGGCCCCAAAACATCTGTTGCTATTGCAAAGTCTTCCTGAGCAATTCTCACACAAAAAAGAAACAGTTTTACAAATGGTGCAGCTGCATTAGCAGGGTAGGGGGTGGGCTGGGTGAGGGGCTCTGTGTGGTGTAAAGATGAAACATTCTTCTGAAGAGGCCATAATCCTTGCTCACTTTTCCCTGTTGGTAGAATGACGGCAAGGTTGCAAGGTATTTTTTTCTGCGTTCACCTACAGTGAGGAAATGAGAAGGTGTTTGGATTGTCACTTAGGAAATGGGCGCGTCCTCTGTATTTTGTTCAGGCCTGGTTTGGAACAAGGAAGCTGCACTTGCAGCATGTGGAGATTCTCCCCACCCCCAACACACACCCTTTTCAGCATAACAGATGGTAAATTCTGTGACTGCCAGTTCTAGCATAATGTGGTTGCAGAAAATAGAAAGCAAAGCAACACGAAGCCCCTGAGAGAACACAGCTGGGGTTTGGAGACAGTGCGAATCTGCTGAGGATAACTACAGGGGCAGGGGGAATGTATATAGCCGAACTGTACAATTGGGGTGCCTACATGTCAGAATGAAACTCATACTGAGGCCTATTGTTAACCAGAGTCTGCCTGCCCGGGCCTTAAAAGCAGAAAGTGGGGATGTAGCCTTACTTGTGAGCGCCTGGTACAAGCCTACCTAAATGTTGCATCTTGCTGATTGACGGTCATGGTCGCTAGCTGCACTGTTGGCTTGTATGTGAGAGGAACTGGTGGCCTTTTTCAGATCTGACTAGATAGAGCACCGTTCTGTTCAATGCTCTTGTCTCACAAAGTCTAAGTCACGATTCTGGCTATTTGATTCAAGTGATAATTGAATAAACTTTTAATTCCTTCAGGTAGTTTTGAAAGAGAGAGAGAGAGACATCCCAGGGACACTAAGTCAGGAGCAACACTCAAGCATCAGCCCTTGGATGAAGACAGTTTTTTCACAGGGCATTTCGCATTTTTCAGAAATGCCAGATTAAGAAACAGAAAATCAATTTGGAATTAAAATACTAGGTATATTTCATTTGGCAATCTTGACTCAGGAATTTGAGTCTAGTCAGAAATTAGGTTTCTATTTGCGCCTTAGACAATACTGTGCATTGTTGGAGGTGGGAGTGAGCTAACTGGTAGGGCTAGTGGGGAAGTCCAAACCAAATAGAGGCCAATTTTAGAAAACAAGAGGAATATTTCTGAAACAGATAGCCAGCAGGCTCTGAGAATTGGGAGTTAATTGTATTGTCTGGTATAGTGTACTTGGGTTGTGGGTCTAAGAAAAGCTTATTTGAAAAATCTAGAACTTCAGTGTTTAGAATTTTAAACACTGAAAAATGATAAATGTAGTTTATCTATGAAGTTGAAACTAGAAACTGTATTAGACAGAATTTTTTTTAAGTGGAGGATAGATTTCTATAGGGAAATATTATTTTAATGAAAGAATATATCTCTCCCTTAGGAAATAATCTAGCCTGACTTATTTTGGGGGGAAAACTAAGACAGGATTTAGTAATGAACTACAGAAATGATCCCTGAGAGGGTCGTCGTCAAGACTTTGTGACCAGCTTTGCCAGTTTAGCCCTGGGTACTTGCTTTATCCATACCTTTGTGCCATAATGGATTTACCCACGTGAACAGAGATAGGTTTTTAACATTTCAGTGGTTCTGTAGAGATTAAAGGGGAAGACTGAATTGCTTGCTTCTTACTTTTTTATTTTAAAAGTATTTTAAAAGCTCAGAAGAGGGCAGAGATAAGATAATGATAGTATTAACTGTTATTACTTTTGAAATTCAAAAATACACCTAAAAGATTGCACCAGATACAATTGAAGATCTCCTGTGTCGCCTACCCCTAGTTTCAATCCCCCATGTGAGAGACAACCAGTGTCATGAATTTTGTATGTATCCTTCCATTTCACACTTATATATTTTTATATGTCCAGTATGTATCTGGAAACATAAACATATGAAATGTTTCAGTGGATTTTAACGTTAAGGATTTTGAGACTTACTTATGTTGACACATATGGCTTTGGTTCATTCTTTTTTTGTTCTGTAGTGTATTATATGAATGTACCGTGATTTATTGTTATTATAAATGCTGAGTATATTGAGACAGGTCATTTTGTATGTATTACTAGAGATTCTTTGGTTATATGTACCTAGAAGTAGAGTTGCTGAAATCAATAGGGGATATACATTTTCAATTATGATAGAAGTTTATTTCCAAAGCAGTTATAAGAATGTACACAGCAGCAGTGTATGAGAGTTTCTAATTGCTGATATCAGACTTTTTCAGTTTTTGCCACCTGGATAGGGGAGACTGTCTTATTTTAATTTGGATTTTTTCAATTACTAGTGACATAATTTTTTAGCCACTGAAATTTGAACTTAAACACATCCAAAGGGGCTCAGTGCCCGTATCACAGTGGTTATGGCGCTGGCCACAAACACCAAGGCTGGTGGGTTCGAACCCAGCCCAGGCCAGCTAAACAACAATGACAATGGCAACAAAAAAATAGCCGAGTGTTGTGGTGGGCGCCTGTAGTCCCAGCTACTTGGGAGGCTGAGGCAAGAGAATCACTTAAGCCCGAGAGTTTGAGGTTGCTGTGAGCTGTGATGCCACAGCACTCTACCGAGGGTGACATAAGGAAACTCTTGTCTCAAAAAAAAAAAAAAAATCCAAAAGGATGAAGGGTGTGCAGCAGCATTTGGCCTTCCTTCAGTCGTCTCTCCAGTCACTGACAGGTGTGCAGGGTGGTGCTCTGGGTAGTTGAAACTGTTGGGAATCAGACCTGTGGATAAGCGGGGTGCTAACCTTTATAAATAGAGGTCCAACATTCTCCTAAAGTAGGAATACATTTTAACTCAGGGATGTTAAGTCGGTCTGTTACTGAGGAGATAAAGAGCAGCAAGGTGACTCATATCATAGAAGGTCTCAGATAACTGGCCAGATGCAGATGGCACAAATCCCCTGCAGGCTGAGCAGTACCAATACTGTGGGACCAATGATGCTTTTCAAAGGTTTTAAAATTTTGTCTTCAGAAAATTGCTATTTTTCTTGTTTGCTTTTGCTTGCTTTCCAGAGTTTAAATGTATGATAAAAATTTAATATATTTTTTTCTCATTTCAGTGTGACAAAATTAGGCAAGAACGAGATGAAGCTATTAAAAAACTGGAGGAATTTCAAAAAAGTACGTAAGCATTTCAGTAGAATTATAGTAACACATACAACTGGGGATTATGCTAGCAGACACATACCCAGGTTAGTTGCTCATGCCCGGGTCATGCAGTCAGGAAAGCAAGAATTGTCTTCCCGTTTGCTAAAGAAGTGCCCTGGCATTACTAATTTTTGAAGAAATGGAATAAGCGTTATTGTCTTATGAGAGTGTTATAAAAGTTTGTGCTTGTTACAAGAGACTTTACTCTGTAGAAAAGTTAAAGGAGCATAAAAATTACTGTTATCTTGACTCCCAGAAAAAGGCCAGTGCTAGTGCTCTCCAGTCCAGCCTTCCTGGCCTTTCATTTGTCTAACATGTATCTACAGAAAACACAGTCATGTTTTGAATGGAGTTTTGCAGCTTGCTCTTTTCAGTAAACAGTAGATTTCAGTAGAGATGTACATCAGTTCTGGTTGTTGTTCATAGCATTTCATTGTATGTTAGGGCCGTGGTTTATTTATTCCTTCCCTGATAGATTATTCCTGGTTTTTGGCTACTCTAAATAATACCATGGCGGGCCAGGCGTGGTGGCTCACGCCTGTAATCCCAGAAACAGAGGGGTAGATCTTATGTTGAGTGTTCTTACCACAGGAATTGAATGAATGAATGAATAAATGAATGAAATATAATAAATGAAGAGTTGCACAGGTATATCCCCAGACTCATCAGGTTATATACCTTAAATACATACAGCGTTCTTTATTGTTTTTCTTTTGGAGAGAGATTTTTGCTCTGTTACCTCAGGCCAGAGTGCCATGGCATCAGCCTAGCTCATAGCAACCCCACCACAAACTCCTGGGTTCCAGCAATCCTCCTGCCTCAGCCTCCTGAGTAAGTGGGACTACAGGTGCTTGCCATGATGCTCAACTAATTTTTGTCTTTTTAGTAGAGATAGGAGTCCCATTCTTGCTCAGGCTGGTCTCAAACTCCTGAGCTCAAGGGATCCTCCCGCCTTGGCCTCCCAGAGTCCTAGGATTACAGGCATGAGCCGTGCACCCAGCCCAAATATGTACATCTTTTTACATGTTACTTATGCCTCAATGAAGTGGTTTAAAAACAGAGGAAAGGAATTCATTATAAGTTCACAGAACTTAGGTGTTTTTAAAGAATGTTTGAAATAACCCAGTCACCGAGGAAAGTTAAATTCCCACAAAAGCTATAATCTTTTTCTGATTTTTTGCTATGTAATTTTTTTATGTGACATAAATCTGTTATTACTTTATCCTCTGAGATAGAACACAGCTGATCAGACCTAGATGAATCGGATGGAAATATGTTATGGTCAAAGGGCCAGACCATAGCAGAGAAGGTGGTCCCCCCTTTCCTGGCCGCAAGACATTTCTCCATCATTCTGCAGATGCTGTATCAGTCAGGTTATTTGATTATATCATAAAGTGTTGACTTGGTAACACTATTTCTTTTAAAGGTACCATTTTATTTGTGTTGAAGGTAAAACAGCTGTAAAAGTGTAGCATGGAGACTGGATAAGTCTCAATAGCAAGTTTATTTCAGCATCTGGCTGTAGCAAGGAGTATCTAAGGGGAATCTTGTCCATAGCATCTATCTTTGGAGGCCAGTGTACTATAACAGAAATAACTCTGATTTGTGAAGGTCTGAGTGAGACTGTCATCGTGTGAGACTGTCTCCTTCCCTGCTTAGACTTGTGCTAACGACACGTCCTATGTGAAAGAGTTACACTGTTGGCATTGTTATCAGTTATTGATAGCAGATTGGCATAGTGTGTGTGGTAGGACTAATTCGGGTTTCTTCTGGTTGGACTTTTGGTCCATGTAGGCAGTAGGGATTTTGCATCCTGCGTTATGCAGAAGCAGAATCAACTTCCCCCAAATTAGCCTTGAGAGGGACCCGTAGTCTCTGCTTTCATCTACTATTTCTCTTTTTCCATTTTTTGTTTCTTCTAAATACCTTGATAGTTAAAATTTACATTTTTTAGGAGCAACTGAAAGCCTGAAAAGATTATTTGAACAACAGTCTCTGTTGTTATATTCCTTTAGTTTTTACCTTAATTTAAAGTTTGGATGGCAGGAAAACAGAGTGGTCAACTTTTTATACAATCTCAAAAGAAGAGAAAATGGAGACTAAGAAAACAATATTTAACAAATATCTTAAAATATTTGTTAAAAAGTGTATCTGAGATAAAAGATTTGATAGCTTTTGAATAGAGGGTAGAATTTCAGATTTGAACAGGAATTAGGCCATAATTTATCACCAGGGAAAAGCACCTTTTGATATGGATCAGTTAGTCCTGAGCAAGTTTCTGTGTTAGCAAGATTGGGATAAATGACCCTGCTTTGTAGGCTGTTTCAGGGTAAAATGAGATAATCTATATAAAAAGTGCTGGATCAGCGCCTATTGGTCAGCGGCTAGGGTGGCAGCCACATATATTGGGGCTGGCAGTTTTGAACCAGCCCAGGCCTGCCAAACAACAATGACAACTGCAACCAAAAAAAAATAGCAAAGCGTTGTGGCAGGTGCCTCTAGTCCCAGTTACTTGGGAGATTGAGGCAAGAGAATCACTTAAGCCCAAGAGTTTGAGGTTGCTGTGAGCTGTGACACCACGGCAATCTACCAAGGGTGACATAGTGAGATTCTGTCTCAAAAAAAAAAAAAAAATGTATCTGCCATATAGTAAGTGCTCAGTAAATGTTAGTTGCTGGCCTCATCTATGAAACCACGCAGTGCCTGGCTGCCCTTCAGTATTCAGAGTTCATACTTACCTTTGGGAAGTTAGTTCCCGGATATCAGACTCCACAGCTGTAGAGGAGACAGCTGGGACAGCTGTAGGGGAAAATGTGTTTTGATGCTGAGTGGAAATCTGAAACCCCTATCATCTATATACTAGACCTTGTAACTGAACCCTTGTAATGTGCTAGGTCTTGAAGTGTAGGGAAAGCAGGAGAATAAAGCTTAGGAAAAGCTTTGTTAGGCCATAGGGCTCTGCTCTCTCTAGCTTAGCTTGCTTTTTCCAGGATAAATACGTTTTAATCCATATTTCTGTGCCATTCTTGGCCCTCTGCCAGCTCTTTCTGTGCCTTCCTCCTACTCTTTCTACACAAAGAACACCACCACGCTGCAAAGCCATGTTCCCTAGGAGGATAGATTCCTGTGAAAAGAGAACTAACCGAAGCCCTTTGATATCTTTTAGGCCACAACATTAGGTCCTTTGTTCTGTTTTAGGGCACATCAGTTTCCCTGCATCTGTGCATTGTTCATGGCTGTTTTCTTAGCACATGAAAATCTTTTAAAAGTAATCTGATGTTGAGGAAGAATTTGTGGTATATTCATCATGTGTGCTGTAGACATATTCTCCATCTAAATAGTGCTAAGGGTTGGAGTTTGGAGAAGTGGTTAACTCCGGACGCAGCATAATGGGTCTTGACCCCTTGCATAATTAGAAAGGGCCATAGATATCTAGAGTCACCTAGAAATGGGTTTGGCTGGGCTTTACCAGTTACAGCTCTGTGATTCAGAATGTAACTTAACTTCTCTGGGCCCCAGAGTTCTCAAATATAAAATGATTGTAATAATGTCCATTTTATAGGACTGTAGTGTAGATTCACGAGGGAGCAGTGTAAAGGGTTTAGCACAAAGCTGGACACATAGTCAGGCTCAATTAATGGTGATGGTGGTTTTTCCTAAGCAGTTCTGTACAATAGAGAACATTCATGTGAAAGGACATTCCCAGATGAACATAAGCCTGACACCATCTTTCCAGTCCTTTAAACAAGCACCAACATGAGTCCCTACTTTGTGCACAGCATTGTGCTAGGTACAAGAGTCTTAGACATGCGTAAGACGAAGTCCCTACTCTAATGCTCATAGGTAGTAGAAGAAGAAAAGCAAGTAAAAGAAAAAAAAGTGACCCTACAGTGTGTGTACTATGATGGCAAGTACATCATAGTGCTTTCAGGTTACTGATGCCGAGACGGACTTCGCTAATTTGACTAGGCTGAAGCACTTCTGAGTTCTCAGGGTCATTAAAATGTTTTTCATTATGAAAAATTTCAAAGTTATATAAAAGTGAGAAAATGGCATAATGTTCCCCAGTGTACCATTCATTCCGCTTCAGCAGTTACCAACTGGTAGCTACCTTTCTTTATCCGTATACTCAACTCTTGCTGACCTTGGATTCTTTTGAAACTAATCCAGTCATCACATCATTTTAATATTTACTGACTATAAATATTTCAGTATGTGCCATGTATCTCTAAAAGCTTAGGATATTTTTCTTTTTAACCTAATTGCAGTATTGGGGACACTTGATCAAAAGCTTATTTTTCTTTTTCACACGGTTGCTCATCTGAATATGCAAATGTTATAGGTGTAGTAGCCAGGGATTGTGATTATTATGAGACAAGCCCAAATTCAAGACCCAAAGGCAAATCATATAATAATAGCTAAAGTTTTTAAAAACTTTGATTCTTTGGCTGGGTGTGGTGGCTCATGCCTGTAATCCTAGTACTCTTGGGAGGTGGAGGCGGGTGGATTGCTTAAACTCAGGAGTTCGAGACCAGCCTGAGCAAGAGTAAGACCCCCCTCTCCACTAAAAATGGAAAAACTAGCCAGGTGTTGTGACTGATGCCTGTAGTCCTAGCTCCTCAGGAGACTGATGCAAGAGGATCACTCGAACCCAGGAGTTTGAGGTCGCTGTGAGCTATGATGCCACGAGTGACAGAGTGAGACTCTATCTAAAAAAAAACAAACAAAAAAATTTGATTCTTTGAAAGGTACAAATAAATTTATGTATCAAAAAATATTTCTGTTTTGCATCATGTGATTTGACTTTGGTTTTGAAAATGGGGTCATGCTTTTTAAAGATGTAAATGGCCTTGAAATATATTCTTCCCTTCTCAACCTTGAAAGTTGATAAGTAGGTTTCTATGCTACCAATTTACCAGTGGGATAATTTCTTCAACTAAAAAGTAAAGTACAATCTTAACTGTCTACTGTTCCGTCTTTGAGGAAGAAATAAACCCCCCACCTGATGGAGTATACCGTATCAGAATGGGAGAAAACGTGGGCAGGTACTACCCGGCTAAGTTCATCAAGTTAAATCCCAGGGCAGCTTTTTACAAAATGTTTAGAAAATAAATGTTGGGCTTTTTTTGTTTTTTTTTTTCCCTATTTGCTAGGCCTAAACCTCACTCCTGAGGAATGATTTTCCTTACTCTTTCACAAGCAAGAATGTTACTGAATAAAAAGTCAGATTCCTATGAAAAATGCAGAGTGTTTATGTTTTTGTTATGATAGTGGAAATACCAGATTGTGGCAGAAGATGTCAAGTAGTTAAGGCTAAAAATTCAAAGTAATATTTGATGTTGTAAAAATTGTATAGGTTTCTTTTCTCTTTCCTTCACATTTTTGAAGAACCTACCTTGTAAACATAGTGATAAAATGCCAGGAATATTAGGATTTTAAGGAAATAATAGAGCCTATTATTTAAACTACAATATAAAAGGCAATTATATTGATGAAGAGCTACATGGGCTTTGTGTGTGTGAATAAACTTGGCCTGTGTTCAGCTTCTATTTGTTCTTCTGGCATAAACACATATTGTGTGTGATTCCAGTTTAATGGGGACCCGTTTGTATGCCAAGCAGCTGCATTTTAGGGCCTATGGCGTGATTTCATAGCTCTCTGAAAATTGGTTCTATTCAGAACAAGAGATAGAAGAGAAGAAGGGGGGTGGTGTGGCAAGGGGGGGGAGCTTCAACACACAATCATTTCTTTTCAATTGGAGCCAGAAAGGTTGATGACAACATGACCATTGTGTTATAATGATAAGACCACTAAGGCATCTGTACCTCTCATCAAGGCTTTCACACAAGAGCAGATACAATTTAATTCACTGCTCTGTCAGCAGTGCTGATACCATTATGCCGTCTGTCTCCACAGTTATAATCACTGTCCTCTGAGAAATGCGGTTGAAATGATCTTGAGCAGTCAAAGAAACTCTCAATTAAGGCTGCCACTTCCAATGTGTCAGATTGTGTCTTATGCACTTGGTACAATTTTCACTTCCAATCCTGTTTATTTACAATGTCTACCAGTAATTACGCTTAACGTGTCATTTAGTGAGGGGGGCCCCTGCCAAGCCGATTGTTGGGTGCTGCTGTACCATTGAGTGGGAGTTTCTCGAAGTCAATGCCATCAGCAGCTTTTAGGCCCTGATGGGATGCAGTAGTAATGTTGATAATGCAAGTATCGTGCTCATCAAGTCATAATTAGATGCCACTCAAATGTGCCACTTGTAATAACAGTGTTGATTCATGTTTTTCTCGGTGACTGCAACTACTAATTAGTTAAGTGGTTTTTGGTTGGCCTGCATTTGCTGCAGATTATTATTACCCCTGAAAAAATGTCAAGGTTAGAGATGTTTCTGGCCATTTAGTGCTACTTTATGAATTTGAATATTAACATAATAAGAACTTTGGACAGACTTAGGAAGTAATACATTTTTGTTTTTAATTTGGAGAGAAATTTTTTCCTCTGAGTTTAATCATAATTGCAGGTTAATTAAGCTTAAATGAATCAAAAGTAATCTCTCTTTGTGTTATGTGAGCCCAGCGCTTTTTGCCTAACTTTGTTGGGTGTCCTTTAATTTTTTTTTTTTTTTTCCAGCAGACACACATCATTAAGTAACCTTGTATACACTTAAGATTTGATAAGAATTTTCTCTTAACTAGAAATATGAGCAGAAGGAATTGGCATTTTTCTTACTTGGTCTTCAAAATATAACTCAAGTTCTAAACTACTTTATACCTTTAAATCTCAATTCACATGAGCCAGCTGTCAAAAAATGTAAAAATTACTATTTTTGAAGTACAGATAAAATATCAAGGAAATTATTACTCTTCTGCTCCTCTTAGCTGTCCCGTGATGCAGGAGGCAGTTTGGTAGCATCTGCTTTCATTGTCACCTAGCACATAAATCTTGTTACACTTCTCTGTCCCGGAGTTTATGAAATAACAATACCTTATAATTAATAAAAACTAATGCATAATACTTAAGTAAGCTGCCACCTTGTTATACCAGGCATAAGATCAATTTAAGATTTTTTTTTTTATTTTCATTAGCTACCAGGTTAATTCTCCTTATTGGATCCATGTGTTATGTCATGCTAAGAAAAGGCAGTCATGTTGCCGTCCCCTTTATTTATGAGAGATCTTTTGTTTAAGTGAGCAGATATGTCTATGGATAGGTATATAGCTACATGGAATATAGACACTTAAAAAAAATCTAAACGGCTTTCTTAAAATGTCTGCAATAGCAGTGAGGCATTCTTCATTGTATTCTTTTTTTTTTCTTTATTCAAATATTAGCAGAGATTTAATCCGGGCAAATTCTCAAAAACTTTTTTTCAGTGATAGCTAAAGGTTTGGCTAGCTAGCTAAAGAATTGAAGTATTCTTCATCATGGGACAGTGCGTGGGCTTCTGGAATAGCTGACTAATCTTTGAATGCTGAGACTTTTTTTCCCCCTCATTCCTAGTTTCTCACATGGTTATAGAAGAAGTTAATTTCATGCAGAACCATCTTGAAATAGAGAAGACTTGTCGAGAAAGTGCTGAAGCTTTGGCAACAAAGGTGAGCCTGATAAATAAAGGAATCTTACTTGAACTTTTTAATTTCAACTTTCTTTTTCTTCACAGTGGCTTCAGTCCTGTTTTGGGTTTCTTAGTTCTTTAATCAGCCCTCTACTCTGATGATGAGGAAAGTGTTGTAAAGTCTTAGAATCCTAGAATATGATTATGTAAATATTCACCTTAATGAAAAGGTTATTTTCATTGTAAAAGGAGCATTTGTACGTACGTATTTCAGCATTTGTGTTTTTTGCCTGTAAAAAATGGTCCGAGAGTAGTCCCTTGGAGTGAACTTTCCAAATGTCTGTGCACTTGGTTAAAATGTGAACCAAGTTTCAAACTAACCTGGTGTGACATAAAAGAGCAATGAATGTTTCATATTTGAATCAAATGAAAAAGTCAGCCCGAAGCCTTAGATTTCAGGTGATTATTTGTGAAAGCAAGTGAGGGCATGCTGAAGGTGACCTCCAGTGCTCCGCTGATTGCTGCCAGCCGATGAATTTGCCAACTGTGTAATTTTCTATATTCTATCTCATCAGAAGTACATTATTATTAAAGAATGTTTTTATCTGTCTTATGTATTTGGGGTTGGATAAAATGCATCTGAACCACTTCATCAGAAAATGGATTACAGCAATTTTCAGCCAAATTTCATTAGTAATGCTGGTTGTGTTCCTTCTCCCTCCCCACATCACCTACTTCTGAAGTGTTTTTTTGCATGTGACTGAAATCCTACTCCCAGTAAATAAATAAATAAGTAAATAAATTTAATTAGCATGCATTGGTGTGCCTGCTGGGGGTATTTGGTCAATTGTCTGCATAACAACACTGCCAGAGAATTCGTAAGATAATCAATCTGAATCTAACTAAGAATATAAATTTGTATATGTAACTTTTCTCCTGTTACTTCCCCAAAGAACATATCGCGATACAGGCCATTGCTTTAAAAACAGTACAACATGGGCAGTCTCACTTCATTTTTACTCTGCTGTACATCATAGAGTTCACTGGTTCATAGTTCTGCGTGGATTCTTTTCATTCCTTTTATTTCTTCTTTTGGAACAAGCAGAGAAAAAATATATTTGGAGCCTACTAGCTGCTCTGAGTCGTCTAGTATCTGAGGATGCTCTCTGTTTGTTCTCTTGTTATTTTCAAGTATTCCTGTTGCCAATAGTAAAAAAAAAAAAAAATGTAAGGACATTGGCAACCTCTCAGGATTGACAGCGTTTATGGAAAGCAGTGGTTTGGAGGCAGCACACTCCCAACCTGTTCCTGTTTTGTTCCTATTTATGTCATTTTTCAGCATATGTGGCTTTGGACAAGCTAGTTCTATCTGTTTTCTGGATGCAGTGTCTCATCTTAAATGACAGGATGGACTGAAAGCAGGGGCGTCCAACCTTTTTTCCCCCTTTGCCAAAAATTGGAAGAATAAGATTTATCTTGGGCCATGTATTTAAAACACAAACACCATAGCTGATGAGCAAAGCAAAAGGTCCATGCATGCTTTTGGCAATGCCCAACAGCACAGATAAGCAAAACAGTCCTCAAAAATCAGCATGGGCCTCTGAGCTGCGAGTTGGACACCCCTACTAGCATTAATCATTAGTCAATAGGTGACCCCCTTTAAAAAAAATTACTTTTTCCTCTGTCGCCTTTTATTTAATAGGTAACTTCACCTCCTTGAGCCACCCTTGTCTTGCCCTAATTGCTAGCATGGGCTGTCGTTGGCTTCTTTAAAATACCTGAGACCCACTGGCTCTCAGAGTGTGGCCTAGGCTTGTGTATATATAGAAAAGCTGCCAAAAGAATATTAAAGTCATCACTGGTTATGAACCACTGTGTTACCTAATCTCTCATGCCACTGTTACAGTTTAGTCTAAGCAATAGGCTCTTTAATTTATGCTGTCTGTTGCCTATTCTTTAAGAAGCCTTTTCAAAAAATGGACATATAGTTTGTCTTATAAACTCATGGGGCCTGGAATAAAAAAACAAGCCAAAAAAGGAGAATTCATTCAAACACTGCAGATGTGCTCATTGGACATGAAAGATTATTGTTTTTTTGCAGCAGGATCTTGCTCTGTTGCCCACTGTAGAATGCAGTGGTGTGATCATAGCTCATTGTAACCTCACACTCCTGAGCTCAGTGGATCTTCCTATCTCAGCCTTTCCACTAGCTAGGACCTTGCCCAACTAATTTTTAAATTTTTTTTGTAGAGATGGGTTCTCACTGTGTTCCCCAGGCTGGTCTCAAACTCCTTCTCTCAAGCAATCCTCCCACCTCAGCCTCCTAAAGTGCTGAGGTTACAGGCATGGGGTGTGAGCCGCTGTGCCTCACCATTACGCATATCTTTCAGTGCAAAATTTGAAAGCTTCATTTGCATATGTGATCAACAATAATAACAGCATATTCTGATTTAAGTATAAATTGTCATTTTTGAAAGTAAGCTTCATTTTCTGAGCAGCAAATTTTCTGTAATTCTTATTTTTCTAAATCTTCACCATCAAATTAATGACAAATTTAGTGCTTATGATGCAGTTTGACTTCATAATTTTCTTAAAAGCAAAATGTGGATACTTTGCTACAATGTATAGTTGGCTGGAGGGTTCAAACCAGGCCAGGGCCAGCTAAAACAACAATGACAACTGCCACAACAACAAAATATAGCCGGGCATTGTGGCGGGCACCTGTAGTCCCAGCTCCTTGGAAGGCTGAGGTAAGAAAACCGCTTAAGTCCAGGAGTTTGAGGTTGCTGTGAGCTGTGACACCATGGCACTCTACCTAGGTTGACAGCTTGAGAGTCTGTCTCAAAAAAAAAAAAAAAGATTAAATTTGTATATATAATATATAAACTATATACATACACACACCAATTATTTAAGTCATATGATCTGAAGCCCTTAAACTTGCATAAATACCTTTAATTTTTAATTAAACTGTGCTCAATATAAAAGTTATATTTAAATTTGAGTACAGTAGTAGATTCTGTTCCTGTGGGGTTATAAAAGATCTCTTTTCATGTTGTAGCATGGAGGGTTCCAAACAACAAGTAGCATGCCTTTCACCTATAACTTAGGAATAACTGCAGTGAAATTCCTTAGCCAAAATTTGTAAGTTCAGAATTATCAAAGATGTCCAAGCAATACACACATATAAACCTTTTATTTCTTCTTGCAAAGTATGAAAATGGTGTTTTAGAGAAGACTTATGAAATTTTTTGGTGTCCTTTTTTCTGGAGCTAGTAACTGTTAAATCAAATAGTAATATTACAGACAGACAGTAGCTAGTGAACTTTGGCACCTGATTTGGTAGGGGCATTAAGCTCTTTTGAGAGCAGACCTGTTAACTGTCAGATTATCAGTTATTATTGTGATGATGATCTGGGAAGTAATAAGCACTAGATGGGAAAAATTAGTATTTTCATTGAGTATTCTAGAAGAACAAAGATAGACAAATGTCATTTTCAAGGGATAAAGACCCAAACTTCTCTTTAGTATGTAAAACTTAGTGAAGTTTTACCATATCCCAGTTACTATATTAAATACTTTATATGTCTTATTTAATCTTCATATTATGGGATAGAGACTATTTTTATCCTTTCTTTACTGATGAGAAAAGTGAAACACAGAAAGATTAGGCTGGTTGTAGAGGTGGAGACAGAATTTTATTGCAGACCTGGGTTGTATTATAAAGCATCACATTACTTTACATCTGTGAGTCTTAGTATTGACATAATTAGAATCACCAGGGAAACTCTTACTGCTAGAGATTTTGATACAGTATAGGGCCTAAGCATTGGGATTTGTGCTCTCCAGAGCTTGCGATGTACAGAGTTGAGAACCATTAGTTTACATATTAGGAAAAAGAATTATAATGTAAGTCTTGAGTTTTTCACTTTTTTCTTAAATTGATATTTTCTTCTAACATTCAAGAAAGATGAAATAGTTTGATAATTGACAAGAGGGGTTCTTGAGCTTCTAGGGCCACACTGTAGCATTCACGGTTTCAGGAACCCACACAGTGTTCACTTCAATTTTCCATCTTCAAGAAGAGGGGCTCGGGAATTAGGGACCTTATCTCTTATCCCTGATTCTTTAATACAGGGATATTGGAGCTGGAGCTGTAGACGGCGGTAAAGGGCTCCCGAATAGAACTCAACAGTCTTCTTCCCAGGAAGAACCCGTGGAAGGGTTGATAGCCATTTCTAAGAGAGTTTTCCTGATTCAGTAACAAGGAAACCTCTTATTCTCTAGACCACACCACTTGGTAAACATTTAGGCTACGTGTTACTGACGTGACGGTCAGATCTCCTAGATTGAAGGGGGCTGGGCTTTCCCTGTGAGAAACTCTGAGAAGCCCTAATTATGATTACAAATGTGTCCCATTTCAAGGTACAAAACAGGCAAATTTAATGACTTTGGATCATACAACTTAAATGATCAGTCTACGTCTTTCAGTTTAATCCATACGTTTTAGTAAAGTATCCATGCTAGTGCAAGGGCACAGTAATACCACATTAAGCATCTTTTTCTGGCGTCAGGTACAGTGGGGAAGGGTATTTAGCTCTAATAAATTATGTTCATTTATTTCTGATATCTGTTATTGAATCTTGGTGGCCAATGGCTCTAGGAAAGGAAATGTGTTTGCATTTCTACAGCTTACTTTTTATTCTAGGGAAAATAATCTACTAATATTTTCATGTGCTCAACTTTTTTTTTTAGTCTTAGGAAGAGGAAACATAAGCAAAACCATATTTTCCTTCTGTAGACGTGGGACCAAGCTTAGTCTTCATATGTGCTTCGTACTAATGTTTTTATGCACATAAACACCTTAGTGAAAGAAGGTGATAATGCTTGAGTAAATCCACAAACCAACTCACTCCTCTCATTTCTCCATCAGGGAGCAACACATGCATCAACAAATCAGGATTCCCTTTTTCTGCCGTGGATTAGAACTCTTTTTATAAGAGATAATAGAAGCATATCTTGAACGTCTGTCGTATCTTATTAGTACTCTTCATCTAAGTAGCAGAAGCACATCCTGAACTTGTTTAACCAAGGAAAGAACACATGTAGGAATTTGTTAGAGAGGAATACTGGAGAATCCCATAGAATCTGTGAGCAAGAAGCCATCCACAAGCGGACTGGAGTCTGGGAAACTCTTTCTCCATTGCTTTTCTCTGCTTTTCTCTACGTATCAGCTTCATTTTTGGCTTTGCTTTGGCTACGTTCCTCTCTTCCTCAGTTTAAATATGGATGCCAGCAGCTCAGACACCTGGAAATAAATTCATCTCTCTGTTCCAGCTTACACATTTCTAGGGAAGGAGTCTTATCAGGCACAAAAGTAGGGCATGTGCCTCATCCCTGGGACTAATGAGCTATGGCCAGAGGGATGGGTGTGCTCTGGTGGACTATGGCTCTTCCCATAGGAAGATGTGAAACAGTGAAGAAGACAGCAATGTCCAGAAAAGAGGGGTACCAGGCAGACAGACACTGATGCTGACAGCACAGCATCAGACAGAAAATTTGCTTAAAATTGTTAAGTGTCTTAATTAAGACTATTAATGGCTATAAGTAAAACTTTCATTTAATATATACTGATGTTTTTAATATCTCTTACTAGCATTTCTACTTGCTACTGGCTGTAATCTAGGCATCAGGTCTTACTTAAAGTAATAAATTTAATATTAAAGAGGGTGAAGGAAATCTTATTTAATGAATCTGCTGTTATTTCCTACTGTGAATGTTGATGAATGATGTAAGACAAAACTTTACTTAATTTGTCTCTTTTTAAAAAATCCAAGATACTCATTTGGCTACTGTTAAAATAACCATTTTTATATTTTGTCTTAGCTAAATAAAGAAAATAAAGCATTGAAAAGAATCAGCATGTTATACATGGCCAAGATGGGACCAGATGTAATAACTGAGGAGATAAACATTGATGAGGAAGATTCAACTACAGACACAGATGGTGCCACCGAGTCTTGTGTCTCCGTACAGTGTCAGAAGCAAATCAAAGGTGAACTCTTTGTTTCATTATGGAGCATATTTTTTATTTCATTTAAGGACAGTGCTTCTCAGCCCTGACTGTACATCAGAATCACTCAGCAACTTTTAAAAACCTTGATGTCTGGATCCTACTTCCCCCAAATTCTGATTTAATTGGCCGAGGGTACAGCCTGGCTGAGAATCCCATGTGATTTAGAGTTACTTTCGTGATTGGAAAATAGCACTTTTGAAGGTGTTATGTCGATAGAAATAGCCAGATAGACTATCACCTTAAGAATGTGGACTGTTTGTAAAGATATTCTTGTTAAATGAAAGAAAGAAGGGATGAAATATATATTAGGCAACACTCGCTTTTTGTTTGGTTTTATGTTAGAATCTTTGGGGAAGATTTCTCCCCGAATTGTGTGGGTTCTGCCGTCTGAGAATTTCCTGTCTGATTCTGGCCATGAGCTGGTGGCAGGCAGTACTGTAAGACAAGATCACATGATAAGTCTACTAAATGCACTACTAAATGTTAAAGATGTAGGAAAGCAGTTTGGCGCTCAGTAACTGTTGGAATATTTTAATTTAGTACATATGTCAAAAGCAATGCTTATTTGTTCAGTAGATAAAATTTCAGTTGGAAGTAGTATAATGAAGAAAGGACATAACAGGCACTGCCTTTAATCGCTCCACCTAAGACAAAATAAAATTTATGTGAGTAGGGACGGAGAGGAAGTTTGGCAGTGTGTTCATGTGTTCTTGCTTTTGCATTGGCCAGCTAGGAGAAAAGGTGATTTAGAAATAAGTCCTTGAGAACTTCTTCAAGTTGGGTTCATATAGAAACTTGGGTTTAACTTACAAATAACCACATACGCAGCAAGTTTCTCATTGCCTTTGGGACAAGGTGAGAAATGAAAAGCTATTAAAACTAGGTGGTAAAACAGTAGGCCTGTATATAAATTGAAGTATATTGAATGTCTGTTTTTAAACATTTGAGGTAACTTTAACTCCAGAAGCCTTTGTACTCAAAGTAGCTAATTGGTTCCTCCCTTTCTCCCTTCCTCTCTCCCTCCCTCCTTTCTTTCGTTTGCTCATTCCTTCCCTCCTTCCCTCTTTCCCTCCTTTCCTCTCTCCTTCCCTCCCTCCCTTCTTTCCTTTCTTCTTCTTCTTCTTCTTCTTCTTCTTCTTCTTTTTTTTTTTTTTGAGATTGGGACTTGCTTTCTCTCTTAGGCTGGAGTACAGTGACTTCATCACAGCTCACTGCAACCTCAAACCCCTGGGCTTAAGTGATGCTCTTGCCTCAGCCTCCCAAATAGGTGAAACTATAGACATGAGCCACAGTGCTCTGCTATTTTTAGTTTAGGGTTTTTTTTTTTTTTTTTTTTTTTTTGAGAGGGGTCGAGATAGGATCTTGCTATGTTGACCAGGTTGGCTTGGGCCTCCCAAATTGCTAGGATTGTAGATGTGAGGCACCACACCTAGCCCAGTTACTAGAATTTTCATTCTAGTAACACATTTTTTATTAAATTCCAATAATGAGAAATATGAAATAAATTAAAAAACAAAACACCCACAACTCTGGAGAGAAAATTACTAGAATTAACCCTTCTTTCAAATAGTTATATTTTGAGTCAGTTCAAATAATGTTTAAAGGCTATAAATTGGCAGCAAGTCAGGATCTTTTTCTTCAAATCAAAACCTCTAAATTATTAACTGCCCAGTTGTTTGTTTATATTGTATTGTGACAAGCGCCCATGGCCATAATGAAATGAAAAAGAAATTAGTACAATGCCTTAATTTGCTTTGCTGAAACCTTAAAAATTTTTACTTCCCAAATGCCAGATAGTTTCTAGAAATGTGGGTTTGAAAGAATGCAGAGATCTGGTACATTTAATGTATGAATTACTAATGATGTGGCTGCCTGGGGGCACCCACACTAATGAGATTCCCATTGGCCTTTTGTTCTTTATTTTCCTTCTAATTTTTAAATAACGTTGACCATAAGCTGCACATGGATTCGCATTTTCAATTCTTTTGAGCAGATTGATTTCTTCTTTTAAAAATAAGTTTATTCTATTTCTTCTTTATTTTTTCTTTATAAATATAGAACTTCGAGATCAAATTGTATCTGTTCAGGAGGAAAAGAAGACATTAGCTATTGAACTGGAAAATCTCAAGAGCAAACTTGTAGAAGTAATTGAAGAAGTATGTATCATAGGCCTGAAAGGCAAGGCCTTTAGTGTTTTCAAAGCATTTGGGGACTGACTGGCTAAATTAAAAAATTGCTGTTGGAAGCTAATTTCTGACGTGAGAACCAAGTACCAATTTTAATCTCCTAAAACATATGAAAAGGCAGAGAAAACAAGATCATGAATGTTAGTGTATCCACTACCTACCTTAATAAATAAGACACTGAAATAGCATGGATGTGCTCCCTGTTGTCCCTCACATTTTACTGTATGAGGCCAGTTGGTAAGAATGGTCGATACCGTTTCAGGTCATACACTTTACTGCTGGTGGCAAAAAAGGAAGACTGTGTTTTGCCTCTGCAGTGGGTAGCTCGCTGATTTGGGAAGGACGGTCCCTTTGTGTACTTCTGACACAGGCATATTTGATAGATAAATGAATGCATACAAGTGCATATTTAGAGAATCTTTCTTTCCCCTTTTGAACTGTCTTAAGATCAAGACCTCATAATTGCCTTTTATTTACATGAGGCTTCAAGAATCTGCCTTCACAAACTTGACTTAACTTGGGTCTGTGGTCTTATATTCTATGGCCCAGAGCCTCCCAACTTATGTGCTACATATAGCACCTTTATAGCCCTCAGATGGCTTACAAGTTTGCCAAGGTATTGAATGCTTTGGTGAGCTGATTACGTTAGTTCCCAAACATATTGTTTTCTTGAAGGCCATATGCAATGAAGTTGGGAAGCAGTGCCCACCAACTTCCCAGCTCCAGCTGATGTTGCCTATTGTAGCAAAACATTGTAATGAATGGGAAGAAAGGTGAGATGGTATTCTAGAAGGGACTTTATTGTTGGGCAGTGTGTACAAGTTATTAATTTAAACCAAAATCCCAAGTAAGCTTTATACAAAGAGAACCAGTTCACAGCCTCTCTGGAGGTGCTGAGGATTCAGAGCCACTTTCAGCGCTGTTACCTCAGTTTGCTTCCTGAGTATAGTGACGGGAGAGGGACAGCAAACGTTCTGATGTGCTCTCTTTCTCAGTTGTGACTTTTCATCGATGATCTTCTGTCCTTTCACTTACAGGTGTTATTAGAAGACAATTCAGAAATTACATTTATTTATAACTATTTTTGATATCTAAAATGGTATAAAGAACAAAATAATGTACATCCAGGCTGCCTACCTTATATAAGTGATTGGCATACAATCTGGGTATCCCCTTCCCCAGTTGCACACTCCTCATTCCCTGCCCAGTTTTCCTAAAGAACCACTATTTTGAACTTGGTGCTCATCATTCCAATGCATGTATTTACATGTTTACTACAGTAGGTACTATTTTGAGTGATTTCAAACTCAAAATGAGTGTACCTTTTTATAAATTCAATAAATTTTAGATTTACCCACCTTGAAGTGTATAGCTTTGTCTTTTTTCTTTTTTTAACTGCTCTGTGATGTTCTCCTATTGATAGACTTCAAAAGGTATTTCAGAAATTAAACTTCTGTGAGAATATTTTCATATGTATTTTATTTAAGCCAAAAGTCATCAAAGTTCAAAATATGTTTTATTTTGAAAGTTCACGTGTGTTTTACTTAAGCCAAAAGTCATAGAATTCAAAGTGAGTAACAAATTGAGTATTGGATTTCTGACTCAGTCATTTGTGTATTTTGTACGTGATCTCTAGATGGATTTTTGCATTAAGAATATGAATCATTTACATTACATTGCTAGAATACTATCATGTTTAGGGAACAATGCCAATTAGAATATGTAAATAAGTTCTATATTGCGTGTGCATACTAAGTGAAGTAGCTATCTTTGAAGCTTTAAAAGAGAGCTTTAATAAAAGCCTTAACATAGTAAAGCCAATTTCAGCTTTAAATTGTACTTTCATGTCGAAACTTGAACAGCAATTTGAGTTTCACACATTGCCATATGTCCTGTATTACAATTCTGAGTATTTTCTTCCCTCTAAATCTCACATTTCTAGGTAAATAAAGTTAAACAAGAAAATGCTGTTTTAAATTCAGAAGTTCTTGAACAGAGAAAAGTCTTAGAAAAATGCAATAGAGGTATGTCTTTCCGGTCTTTTTTCTCAATTACATTAGTGATTTGTTTTGTGCCATTTTACACCTGTGCCTCACCTAAAGCTTCTCATAAACAAAACCTTTTCCTAATACTGTGTTTTTTTTCCTAGCAGCAAGTCTCTCTCATTCCTATTATTTTATTACTCAACTTAAGAGTCTGGTGACATCTGAAAGTGATTTCAGTTGAGGAACTAGGAACCCATTCATTCTGAAACTGCAAACATAGATCCTACTTCTGTCCTACCTGTATCCTGGGACTGTGGCCGATTTGGCTATCCCCTCAGTGTTTATATATTTGATAGGTTACTTAGTAAAGCTCAATCCAGGTGAGGTTCAGATATCTTCATAAAGTCTGCAACATAATATGATAAAATTTTAAATTAAGAAGATATGGAAAAAGGGGCCAAAGGGGGAGTAGAGTTAGACTGATGTACACAGTGTGCACTTGCTCTGAGGTCTTGCACATTTCCTGCTCGTGTGTCTGAAATCTGACTCTGAGCTGTCTAGCAGCCAGTGCAATAGAGATTCTTGATCATTTAAATGAATCACATGGAATAAACCTAATGATTCGGGGGAGTAGACCTGGTCTCCTGGTAAGTGGGAAACGTCTCTAATGTCTTTTTCCAGAGAAAATTCTGCATAATTTAGTCAACCATGACCTTATAATCCTTGCTGTAAAGCAGCATCATGTCTCAGGGGGGCTGTTTCTTATGTCTCCCAGCTTAGGACAAAGAAGTGATGTTCTCAAAATGTAGTTCTGTAAAGGAATTAAGAGAGGAGATTTAACTATACTTGTTGTTCTCCTTTTTCCCTGAGTCTCTCTCTTTCCTAGTTCAGAAGCTGTAGCACTCACAGGCAATATTGCAGACCCAGGGCCTTCCGCATTGCTCTTGGTTGTAGCTCTCAATTTTTTCATCGTTTGTCAACTGAAAGGATTTTTGAGTAAACGAAGGACCTTTTAGTTAAATGTGGGAGGTACACTAGATTTGTAACATTTCTCTAGGTCTTTCTGTATTTAAAGATAAAAATGATGTTGAATTTTGAGACGTGCTGCACTGTTCTAGAAACAGAGCATTCTGCAAAGGTGAATCGCATGGCTCTTGCCTTCAGAGAGCCCCCTATCTAGGGAGAGCGATTCTGTAAATAAATACATGAAAAGGACCCACCTAATTTCTTTCAGAATCTAACTCAGAAGGGCTAAGATGAAAAAGTGCGAAAATGTGCTTTTTATTATAGTGTTCGGAACAAAGAAAAGAGGGTCAATTATCTTGCTAGGCCTTCAACTATTCATAGTTGTCTCTGTTTTCTTCATGAAATTTCTTTTTAAAATAGGTTTGCAGTCATTTAGCTATCAGGGAGCTAGAATTCATACCACAAATCACCACTTCTATTGCTTTGCTTGAGTAAGACTATTAGTCTTTCTTCGGAGGAGGCAGTAGATTTTCAGAGTACAGTATTTGAAATTCTATGTCATTACACAGCAAACCAGTCCTTAGTCAGTTAGGATTGAAGTGTCCTGGCGGAACAGCGCATGAAAGCAGCCATTAAGTGAACCTTTCTAAAGATTTTAGTGATATGACTCAGCTCAGGAGTGCGGTACCCCACCAAAAGCAGGTGGACAGTGTGCTGTCTACCTGTGTGGCGCCTAAATTCTAATAGTGTCTTCACTCCCCTGTCCTGTCAATATCATTATTAAACAAAAGTAGCAAAGAATTGGTGTTGGTTTCATTTGATGGGACCTTCGTCTTAAAGGTTTCTGTCCTATGGTAATTCTTCAATACAAAGCTCTGATTCTTTGGGCCTTAGTGAATCTAAGATCGTTTCTCTTCTTTGTAAACATGGAGAACACTTAAAAACAACTTGCGTGCCTCTGTGTGTGTGTGTGTGTGCGTGTGTGTGTGTGTTTCCTTCTTATTCAGGTACTATGTTTTGGTGGAAAATTTAGGTTCACGTAGGAAAAGAAAAAGTCTCAACCTTTATTATCCAGAGATAAGCACTATTAACACTTTAGTGTGTGGTAGAACCTCTGTAAGTTGGCCACCCAAGGGACTGTAACAGAGTACTCTACATAGGGAGGTGGTCAATGTAAGGAATGAGGCCCACCATTCTGATGTGTGCATGTGGTGCAGGTCCAGTCTGTGAAAATTAGGTCACTTTGGGGAGGTGGTGAGTGTAGGGAGGTGATCAACTATGGAATTTCTACTCAGTATTTGTTCTAATCTTTGAAAATATTATATATATTTAAGTTTTTGTTAAATGTTTATAATGTATATGGAAGACAAAGAGAATACCAGCAAAAGAAATCTCCCTCTGCCTGGTGGTACCTCACAGACTCATGAACAGTCCTTTGTGCCTGCATCCTTCCTTTGCATTTTTATCCTTTCCTTTGTTTTATTTATAGTTTTGCCAAGTATGTTTGCTAAGTATCCCTAAACAGTACATTGTTTAACTTTGTGTTTTTGAACTTGATATAAATGGAAACATTTTGCATATAACCTGCAACTTTTTGCGTGACTGAGGGCATAGTTGTGTTATATTATTTTCAGTGTGGTGTAATATTCCAATAGGTGACTATATCAAAATTCATTCATCTGCTATCCTGTTGGTAGAAATTTGAGTCATTTCCAGTTCTTTGCTATTCCAAGTCATGTTATTATGAAAATTGTTATACATATTTCCTGGTACACATATCCCAGAATGTCACTTAGATATACAAAGGTCTGACAGTTAAGTTCACAAACTCACCCTAGAAAAAGTGCTACATACCTCATTGCTGAATAAGACTATGGCCATCCTTGGTACTCTTGGGAAGCTATGTGCTGATGTCAGTGCCTAGTCCACCCTTCAAAGCAATTTTGGAACTCTTTCTGGAGTGACCATCAGCGTTGTCGTCACACAAAGTTGTGACACAATTAAATGCATGAATTCCTCCTAGAAAAAATGCTAAATACCTCATTGCTGAATATCACTGCGGTCACCAGATGGCCAAGGGGAATCTTCAGAGTACTTTCAAGAGTAGACTAGGAGTCGGGGTCAGTGCATAGTTTCCAAAGGGGAGCACTTTCCAGAAGGCCACCATAGTGAGAATCAGCAGTGAGGTATGTAGGACTTTTTCTAGGATAAGTTCATGAATTTAATTGTCCGACCCCATTTGACAACAGTTCAGGGTGGGGGGCATTACCAGAAAAAGAGTTCTAAAATTGCTCTGAAGGGTGGACTAGGTGCTGGCATCAGTATATAGCTTCTCCCGGGGGGAGTACTTTAGAGGTGACCAGAGTGATAGTCAGCAATGAGGTTTGTAGCACTATTTCTGGGAGACGTTTGCAGACTTCATTATTGGACCTTGTATGTGCCTTGAGGTGGAGTTATCGAGTTAAAGGGTATGGGTAGTTTTATTCACATTGCCAAGTTGCCCTCCAAAAAGGTTTTATCTATTTATATGCCACAAGGAGTGGATAATGGTGCCTGTATGAAGAATCTTTCCAACACTGTTTTTAATCCATATTTCTGATAATTAGTGTGGCATATTGTCCGTTTTTCCCTCGTCCTAAGTGTCCATATTAGCTGTAGAAGAGTATGAGGACATGCAAGTAAACCTGGAGCTGGAGAAGGACCTTCGGAAGAAAGCAGAGTCGTTTGCACAAGAGGTGGGTACATCTCATGGAGACCTAGTTTTTTATTTTTGTTTTTGAAGGGGACCTTGAAGGTGACATCAACAAAATTTTTAAGGTTGAATAAGAGCCCTTACCTGTTTGAATTGAGGATCGTCTGGTTAAGGAGGTAGATAGAGAATAGTATCGCGTTCACTGAACTTGATGTCTGAAGACCTGCGTTCAAGTTTTGGTCCTATCTGTTACTGGCTGTATGACCTCAGAGCGGTCTCTTAGATTCTTGGGGCTTCCCTTTTACCATCCGTAAAGTGGGTGATGATGCAAACCTAACCAAGTGGATTTTAGAATCAAATGGTACAATCTTCAAATAGTATTCTGGGAACTATACTATGACCTAGAAATTGCGGTGGGAAGTCCAGCTAGAGTACGGGATGTCGGTATGCTTCACATCACCTTCAGATCTCCGTATGCCGTCTCAGATAACAGGATGATGAGATCAGTATTTCTCTTCAGCTATTGTACTGTGCTTGCATCATGCAAATTGATTCTTCCACTGCCTGTGGAACATTGCCATGTTGTACATCTGTTATCTCAGCCTTTCACCAGTGTAATGATTTTCCTCTCAGTGTTAGAGATAAGCTTGGGCTTCTCTTGTTCTGGCTTACTTTGTTGACATGCAGTTGTTGGGTATTGCATGGCTCTGGGGAATGGAACTGCTCTGCAGTGAGATCTCTATCCTGTATAGGTATTTTGAATTTATGTGCATACAGTGGGTTGAAGGAAAGCTAAGGAAATGTAAAACAGTCCTGGGTAGAAGTATCCAAGGCATAGAAGAAAGACAAAGTGTGGCATTATGGGAATTGAAAATTCCAGTTGAAAATCGGGTGATGGTTTTGCGGGGGGAGTCTTTCTGTGCTTGAATGTTATTGTGCTAGCAATGAACTCTACCAAAGGTTTAGGCCAAGTAGATCTGATTTGAAATATTATAATTCCTTTTACTCACAGAGTTTAATGAAAGGTGAGTAAATATTATTCTCTTATTACTTGGAAGAAAGGAAAAAGAACTGAAGTGTGTCAGAGTCCTCTGGAAAAAGCTGCTGCAATATAAATAATGAAACTAAATAAATAGTGAAAGAGTGAGATAATATGAAGATTCTTTTATTGCAAAACTGAAAAGGTTTGTTGGTTTTGACCCTAAGGCCAAGGTCTCATTTCAAGACATTTCCAGTTTTCCATCTGTTGTTTGTACAATGATGTTAGAATACAAAGCAGCTCAGAGAAAAACTTGAAGGTCGTGAAATAGCAGAGAAGATGGGTAGAAGCAGCAAGGTTGCAGTCAGAGGAAGAAAGTGATTACTCTCCCATCCACCTGGTCTTCAGCCTTAGCGGTTGCTGGAAACAGTGACTTGAATGTTAACCCTCAGACAGAAGGAGGACGTGAGGTGGAAGCGTGAAGGGAGAACGATTATGGTGCTTATTTACTGGTAGCATGAATATTTGCTACTGAGCTCAATAAAGATTCAGTCTACATTATAGAAGAAAAAAATTGTCTAAATCGTGCTAGGTTGGGATGAGTATATTTTCTTTTTTACATGGTTTACAGATTCTTAGGTAACTACTGTTGAAAGACACGACTTAGGCTCAGTGCCTATAGCTCAGCAGCTGAGGGTGCCAGTCACATACACCAGAGCTGGTGGATTTGAATCCAGCCCGGGCCTGCAAAACAACAGTGACAACTACAATCAAAAGATAGCCGAGTGTTGTGGCAATCCCAGCTGTAGTCCCAGCTACCTGGGAGGCTGAGGCGAGAGAAGCTGAAGAGCCGGAGGTTGCTGTGAGCTGTGATGCCACAGCACTCTACCAAATGTGACAAAATGAGACTCTGTCTCAAAAAAGAAAGACACGACTTAGTTTAATAGGAGGTTCCCACTCTTTTGCATTTTGTTCCTTAGTGAATTCAGCAGATATTTTATTGCACCAGGCACTGTGTTGACATTGGCAGTCTAACAGGGAAGAGAGCAAATGTGAGCTCACCCTCTTGGGAACTTCCAGTCTAGAGATTTAGGAATCGAATTTTAAAGTTAGTTCACTTTATATTTTTAATTACAAAAGGAATATATGTACCTTATAAAAAGATAGAAACAATTGTCAAATGTATAAAGTGAAAATTGAAAGTTTCTCCCCACCTCCTCTTAGTTCAGTTAAAAAACAAAACCCCCAAAACAAACCCCCTCGGTAAGAAGAAAACAGTCAGTTGTCTTCATAACTACATTGAAGTTTTGAATGAGAGATGTTTTTGTACTTTGCAAATATATTTTTCTTGTTATTTAGTGTAGTTCTTTCTTTTCTTTTTAAATTTGTAGATCCCTTGTTCAACATCTCTTCCCAGTTTACTCTGAGACTATTATCTAATCAATTCTTTTTTCCTCCCAAACAATTCAGTGTTATTTTGGAAAGAAAGAATTATATATTAACGTAAGATTTATTCCTCATTCTTCAGAAAGACACAATTTCTTGGAAATTCTGATACTTGTAGTATTATTTGTCTGGTAAGAAACCAACTTCATAACTAACTAATGAGTTCTTACCCTACCTAAAAAAACAAATTCATTAGTATTTGGTAACTGAATTATTTTGAAGTACCTTTTTAGAAAAGGAGTTATGTATAATTTTTTATTTCTGTGTCTTAAAAGTTTAGAAAGGGTAGTCTGATGAGTACTTTTTTCAAGTTACCATTTTATTTAAAGGAAATTCATTTCTATGTAGATTTTTTTCCCTTCTAAAGCCACTGTTCATGGATTTCACAGAATAAATTCACAGTATTCCCATGCCTAAGATTTGATGTCACATCTTTGCTGTTTCTTCTCAAAGATAACAAAGGTGATATAATTTACAATTCCGTAAAATTAAACAAGTTTTCCTGAGGGCTAATGTGGAGAGGGAACCACTCCTCTTTCTTGAGAGAGAGGCAGCTCAGGACAGTAATTAAGTCCCCTTGCGTTAATGGCCGGCTTGTGCTCTACTTTGTTTTACCACTGAGTTCCTGCCCCTGGTCTGACCCCCCACTGTCTGCTCCCTCTCTGCCTGCTCTTGGCTTCTGAGCACACTTGGTGTAAGGCCTCACTTGCCAGACAGCTGGGGAAGCCTGTGTCAGCTGCTGTGTGCAGGCCTTTCATGCTGGCTCCCTGTGGTACTTTCCAAGATGCCAGCAAGAGACCCAGCCAGCCAAGAGGTGGAGCTGAGGCAGTGAAGGGTGTGATGCAGAGTGGCTGTAAATACAGATGAAGCTTCACTCACCTGCCCCCTGCTGCTCCTTTCCTGCTATGTGGCCCGGTTCCTAACAGGCCATGGGCAGGTACCAGTCCATGGCCCTGGGAGTTGGGGACTGCAAGTATAAATCATCAAAGCTGTGGTCTTTCCATGTGGAAGTTGATAGAAACTATTTTTATCATGAGTTCTTTGCTGAGTTTTTCTGTTTATGTGATGAATGAGATTGTTAAACAAATTAATACATGGGTTATAGCAAGTTGTTTTATAGTACAGATCTTAACAATTAAGTTACAATGTACATTTTTAAATGCTGTTAAGAATCTGCAAATGTGAAGCTTTACTGAAAATGGGCCTGATTTCAGAGTTCATAAAACATTTCATGCTTAGAATCACCCATTGGCCAACTTGGAAAGAATGATAAAGATAGAAATAATAGGTGACTAGAAAATGATGTTATTTTCAGTCCTGTAACATTGCTAGGATGAGATGAAGAATATACAGATGGTGCCAAAATAATGTATACACCTTTTAAGAAAGGAAAACACTGTATTAAATTTGTAATACTCAATACATACTGGTAACAAAAGATGAATACAAGTCACATTGAGCAGCTTTATAATTGCAGAAGTCAAACAGGACTTGAATATTAAAATATAGCAGTTTTTTCCTTTGTATACCTTTTTGGCACCTCTGTGTACAAATTGCTTAGTAAAGTGCACAATAAATATTAGTATACTGTCTCTTTTGTCCCCTTTGCCCCTTTACTGTTAACTCCTTCCATCATTGGTGAAAAATAACTGGTTTAAAACACAACATTAGGCCTAATAAGTAGCAGAGGACATTAGACAGATAGTTAAGAGCTTGGGCATGTAAATGAGGCAGATACGAGTTAAATCCTGGTCTAACTACATATGTTTGTTATAGTAAAATGAGATAAAACTACTTGATAGTGTTACTCTAAGGATAAGATAATAAGTTAATGTAAAATGATTACTACCATAACTGTCACACGATGTTTAGTAAATGTTACCCATTCTGAGTGGAAACACCTAACTCATAGGATTGATGTGAAGATGAAAATAATACATATAAAATGTTTAGTAGAGTACATAAGGTGAGTTCTTGATAAATAGTAGCTACTGCTATTGGTATTAATGCATTTTTAAGCAATAATAAAATTGCTAAAACTGAAATGTAGTACTAAATTATATATATGTGTGTATATACACATACCCGTTGTTGGTGACAGGAGTAAAGGTGCTGAAGATTGTATACAAGTTAGGAATGAAATTGTAGTAATCACTGCTTCTAAAACTGTTAATGCAATTCAGAAATTAACATTTTAATAAAAACTATGTGCTTTCCTTTTGCTGAAGGTGTAGTTGAGGAGGTAATGAGGGATGGATTGGTATATATATTTCTGTAATGAACTTTTGCAGATGTTCATTGAACAAAACAAGCTAAAGAGACAAAGTCACCTTCTGCTACAGAGCTCTGTCCCTGACCAGCAGCTTTTGAAAGCTTTAGATGAGAATGCAAAACTTACCCAGCTCCTTGAAGAAGAGAGAATTCAGCATCAGCAAAAGGTAACAGATTTTTTTCTGGAGGCTTAGATACACACACACACACACACTCTGTCTTATATACAGTAGAACCTCCATAGTTGATCACTTCCCACATTGAGTGCGACCTAACGTTGGTCTCACCCAATGTGAGCCCTTAAGTTGACCTAATTTTCATAGACCAGATGTGGACCACACATATGTGTCCGTACAGTGGAAGTATTTCCTTATCTGACTGCCTCTGTGTGTTGGTCAGTCCCTTGGGTGGTCACCTTACAGAGGTTCTACTGTATATTTAAGAAATGAGAGAAGTCAGTATAGTCATTTGTAGTTATGTATTTTGCCTTAGTTACTAAGTCCTTCCAATAACCTTTTAGAAAAAAATACCCAAAGAACTTAATTTATTTCTAAACTAAAATTTATAGTACACTGTTATAAATTTTACAATGATCATTAGACTGTCCAAAGGCTCAGAAGAAGCAAAGGAAAGAGATAGGACTGAAAACAGCTTTGATAATGCAGAGTCTAGAAAGCTGGGTTTTTGGTTTTTTTTGAGATACTGTTTTTTAGGAGAGTACACATACTAGGACGCTATATTAGTCTCAAAGAGCTTGTTGGAAGTCATAGGTTTTATTCAAAAGAGGGAGTAAAAGAAAAGCCCATGTTAGTAGTAATTGTTTGCTTAGAGAAAATTTCTGACTTTGTAAACTTGCACAAATGTGTATATTTAAAGACGTCCTAAGTGGTTATTTCAATTTGTATGAGTGGAGCTATTCCTAGCGGACACAGCCTACCTTTGTGCCAGGCAGAAACGATAGTCATCGTGGTAGGTGAGAGGAGGTGGGAGAGGAGAGGTGAAGAGGCGGAACAAAGACTTTCAAACTAAAGAAACCACTTAAGGAAAATTACATCAATATTTACACTGCTTACCACATGCCTCCTTTGGGAAGGAGAGGCTGTTAGCTGCTGCTTGTTGTCGCCTGTCAGAGTCTCTGTGAGCAGCATTATTGACATTTAATCCTCGGAAGTTCTGAAGTTTTTACGAAGTTGGTGAGGTTGAGTTGATTTCATTTTTTCTTAAGATATGTTGGTGTATGTGTAGAGCTGGGAAAGAGGACTGAGAAACAGGGTGAGAAGGACAAGGAAAGAATTTCTTTCTTTCTTTCCTTGTTTTGTTCCCAATTGCAGTACAAGGATTACCTTTTCAAATAGAGAGTAGAAAAAAAGAATTTTTTTTTTTTTTTTTTACCTTAAACTAGAGTTTAACTTTTGGTTCTAAAAAGTCCAACTACCTGCAGTTAAATCATTTAGGAAATAATACTACTGAATTGAAGTGAGGTATAGGATTAGATTGTTGTATATATACCCTGTAGGGGTAGGGCAGGGATAGAGATACTGAAGATTAGATAGAATGAAATGATAGCAGTAATTACTTCTAAAACTGTTATACTCTATAATATATAGTTATTTTGGATAATCTTTCATGTATGGATGCTCCTTAATTTACAATAGGGTTATATCCTAATAAACTCATCATAAGTTGAAGATACAGGGTATCCCCAAAGTCACCATGCATAGGGAAAATGGGAAATTGTAGCTACCTGTACCTTTATTTGCAAGATATTTATTTTAAAATGTAAAGAGAGTTGGTCAGCAAATAGCTGGGACCACAGGTATATACTACCATGCCCAGCTAATTTTTCATATTTTTTCTGGAGATGGGGGCTCACTGTGTTGCCCAGGCTCGTCTTGACCGCCTGGCCTCAAGTGATCCTCCCACCTTAGCTTTTTAAGTGATGGGATAACAGACAAGAGCTGCCACTCCCAGTCCTTGTCTGTACAGTATTTTTAAAAACAAATTCCTAAAAGTGATATTACTGAATTAAGGGGGTTTCCTCCTCCATTTGGGGAAGGTTTTTTATTTGTTCGTTTGTTTGTTTGTTCGTTTGTTTGTTTGTTTGTTTGTTTTTTATTGTTGGGGATTCATTGAGGGTATAAGAAACCAGGTTACACTGATTGCATTTGTTAGGTAGAGTCCATCTTACAATTGTGTCTTGCCCTCAAAAGGTGTGTCACACACTGAGACCCTCCCTCCCTCCCTCCTTCCCTCTCTCTGCTTTTCCTTACCCCCCTCTCTCTTTCTCCCAGAGAAAGAGCCCTTCCCCCAGCCCCCATTGTGTACTAGGTCATTAATGGTCCTCATATCCAAATTCAAATTCATAGGATTCATACTTCTCCATTTTTGTGATGTTTTACTAAGAATAATGTGTTCTACTTCCATCCAAGTAATACAAAGGATGTAAAATCTCCATCTTTTTTAATGACTGAATAGTATTCCACGGTATACACATACCACATATACCTGTAGGGGTAGGGTGGGGATAGAGATGCTGAAGATTAGATAGAATGAAATGTTAATTCATTCCTGGGTTGGTGGGCATTTAGACAGTTTCCACATTTTGGCGATTGTAAATTGAGCTGCGATAAACACTCAATGGCACATGTCCTTATAATAAAAGGATTTTTTTCCTTCTGGGTAGATGCCCAGTAATGGCATTGCAGGATCAAATGGGAGGTCTAGCTTGAGTTCTTTGAGGGTTCTCCATACTTCCTTCCAAAAAGGTTGTATTAGTTTGCAGTCCCACCAGCAGTGTAAAAGTGTTCCCTTCTCTCCACATCCATGCCAGCATCTGCAATTTTGAGATTTTGTGATGTGAGCCATTCTTGCTGGGGTTAGATGGTATCTCAGGGTGGTTTTGATTTGCATTTCTCTGATAATTAGGGACGATGAACATTTTTTCATGTGTTTGTTAGCCATTCGTCTGTCTTCATTAGAGAAGTTTCTATCCATGTCTCTTGCCCATTGATATATGGGATTATTGGCTTTTTTCATGTGGATTAATTTGAGTTCTCTATAGATCCTACTTATCAAGCTTTTGTCTGATTTAAAATATGCAAGTATCCTTTCCCATCGTGTAGGTTGTGTATTAGCTTTGGTTTTTGTCTCCTTTGCTGTACAGAAGCTTTTCCGTTTAAGTTGCATTTGTTTATTTTTGTTGTTGTTGCAATGTGTCACAGCAGTCTTCTTCATAAAGTCTTTCCCCAAGCCGATATCTTCCAGTGTTTTTCCTGTGCTTTCTTTGAGGATTTTTATCATTTCATGCTTTAAATTGGGAAGGTTTTTTGATACTTGTTACCAAATTGTTCTTCTAGGGATCATTTAAAATACTACCTGAATTTTTCTCTTTAAAATGTGTACAAAAGCATTAATCTGTTTCAAATGAATTTTTATTATATTACTTTTGTATCTTGCATTTAAAGATTAAACTGTCTGGTACAAAACTCTCCAGTAGACTTGCATTAAAATCAAAGAGGTGATGATAATTTAAAGTATTATCTTTATCTAGAATTTGTGTGGTTATAAAGATGGAATCTCTTTGCTATGAAATACAAAAGGCAAATTTGTATTTATTTTTCCCTTTTCTTTGACAAAGGAAAGTCTATCACCCCATAAGATTTTGTTCATAACTTACAGGTCAAAGAACTGAAAGAGCAACTAGAAAACGAAACACTCCACAAAGAGATACACAACCTCAAACAGCAGCTGGAACTTCTAGAAGAAGACAAAAAGGAATTGGAAGCGAAATACCAGAATTCTGAGGAGAAATCCAGAAATTTAAAGCACTCAGGTAAAATCACTAAGTAGACTCCTGTGTTATTAATCTGTGACTTTCTGATGCCTAGTGTGAAACCTAGCATAGAGTCAGTCCAGAAAGAACATTTACTGAATGCTGTAGAAATACAAGATTTAGGTTTAAATTCCTTCCTTTCTAATAATTGTAATTCACTTGGATAGCTGCTGTGATCAGATAATTCACAAATATTTCAGCTTTCTTTTGGACTTAAGAGTCTCTGTGAGCATCACATACAGAATTACTGTTAACCTGGGAGGACCAAACATTTCAACATTTTTTAGAGCTTCCAAGATGAGTGTTTGTTAAGTACCTCATTTTGTTCCTTTTAGAGTGCATTTGTTAAGGTAATAAAACTTTTTTAATACTACCTTCCTCTTTGGTGACTAATTATACACATGAAATAATACTTCCCATATCATGTTGAACGATGAAATGGGCACCAATATGGACATTAATTGGAAAAACTCTCTTACATCAAAAGATTCGTTCATTTAGTTCCAGAATGCTTAACAGAAGTATGTGAGTGACATAACTGTGCATGCTAAGTCTCTGTTGGAAGGTAGGTAACTTCAGGAGACAGGTACCTTCCCTGTATATGAGCTTCAGTAGTCACTTGAGATATTTTTGGTTAATTTTATACTAGAATTTTGACATATATGTGGCAGAACCATGTAGCTTTCTTTCCCTATGAAAACATTCAGTGCTTTCTAATCCACAATGGAAACCAATTACAATTTTTAAAACATTGATTCAAAGTTAAGAAATTCATTTTTTTTTTTAGTGAATTATCAGAGTGGCCTGTGGCCAAAACCATTTTTAATATAAGTGGAGGAGGCCAGCATTGGAGGTATTTGAGATTTAATTTTGTGTGTGTTTTATTTAGAATCAACTGGGTGTGTACCCCACCCTACTCCAGGGTAAACTCAAATGCAGAAGAAAAGAAACCATGCCTTCTGTCTTCAAAGAACTCACATTCCCTTTGCAGAGGGAGATAACATGCATATGAAATAAAATGCTTCATTCATGACTTGTATGAATTGAATGAATAAGTTGTATCTCTAGAATACACATCAAAAGAGCATAAAGTTTCTGAATTACAGACATTTAGGAATCTGAGTCTGGTTAAAATCAAGGCCTCTAGTATTTATAGTTTTTGAAGGCAATTAAACAGGAGAGAGAAGTATGCTGTATTATTAAATGTCATCTTTAAAATTCTACACTTTTAAAGTCAAGTATTAACAATTTCTTAGTGTTCGAGTAGCATACTTCATTGTTAACAAATATTTCTTCTACCTACTCAGTGCTTTCTTCCCACAGTCAGGCATTGTTTTGTTATTCTTTTCATTTCTGAAGTTGTATATACAGGAAAAAGATGGTAATAGTTTAAAAGATGGGAGGCCTCTTTTGCATTAGTGATGGACTAGTTGAAAATGTTTAAAAAGTTCTGCATTTTCATATTGAAATTTCTAATTTGGCCTTAATAAGAACTTGGCTTTGAAAAGTCTTTGCTTTCACTTGTACAAATAGTGTGTAATTACCTACTTCACTTCTCTTCTCAATGCTTGCTCTCCATGTAGTCGATGAGCTCCAGAAACGAGTGAACCAGTCTGAGAATTCAGTACCTCCACCACCTCCTCCGCCTCCGCCGCTGCCCCCTCCACCTCCCAATCCTATCCGGTAAGCACACCCAGGAGGACTGCTCTGCATCAGACGTCGTGTTAATTCAAACTCAGCCCCGGCCAAAAACTGTAAAAAAAATTTTTTTCAAGAGAACTGCCATATTTCTAGGGGGTCCTTTTTTTCCCCCCTTTTAAAAAAATTTCAGATTAAATATAAGGGCGTATACAATTAGGTAACATTGTTTGTGTTTGTTAGGAAAGGTCCAAGTTGTACTTGAGTCCTTCACCCAGGAGTTGTGCCCTATACCCTCCCGGTAGGTGGGAGCTTACTGAGCCCCTTTCCCCCTCCCCTCTTCTTCTTTCTTTTTTTTTTTTTTTTCCTCTTCTTCTTTCTTGAATTTAATTGTGTTTTTTCCCCTCATGTGGGCCCGTAGTCATTCATCTACTAGTTTCAAATTAGTATTGACTTCATGGGATGCTTGCTTTTCCACTCTCGTGATACTTTACTAAGGAGAATGGTCTTCAGCTCCATCCAGGTAAATACAAAAGATAAAAAGTCTCCCATCTCTTTTATGGCTGAGTACGGTTCCATGGTATACCTATACCACAGTTTATTAATCCATTCATGGGTTGTTTCCACATCTTTACTATTATGATTTGAACTGCTGTAAACATTAGTGCAAATGTCCTTATGGTAAATGTTTTTTTTTTTTCTTCTGGGTAGATACTGAGTAATGGGAAATAATTTTGCATCATTAGAGAGGCCATAGAAAGTATGGCAATTCTCTTGAAAAAATTTTTTTTTACAGTTTTTGGCTGGGGCTGGGTTTGAACCCGCCACCTCCAGCATATGGGGCCGGCGCCCCACTCCTTTGAGCTACAGGTGCCTCACTCTTGAAAAATCTTTTAAAGTCTAGGATATTCCCTTTTTTAGGGCCTTACAAAACACCTGGCAAAGAAATTCTTACGACCTTGTGATGTTAAGATTCCGTGTGGATATTTCACACCCCAGGAACTAAGTGTTATTTTTTTATTTTAGATACCTTAGTTTTAAAATTTTATTTCATAGCCTTAGGATTTCCTTTAACTAGTAAGATCAAGGAATTTTGAGCTTCTTTGGAATATGTTTATCTTTTTCTCACACCAATTTCTATTTGAAAGGCTCTGGTTTGCTCAATTATTTTCAAAATAAACGTACGAACTAAAAAATTTTATTAATTTTTTAAAACTAATATTAAGTTAAGATGACTATTTTTATCACTAACCTTCTCTTTAAACCTTTAATATGCTGAGAGAGGCGCTTTCCATAAGGAAAATGAAATATGTTTAAATTCTAGTGATAGGAAATTATCTGCAGACAGAAATTCACTTTTCCTGAAGCGTAAGGTGACTTGATATTATTGAGTAGCTGATGTGAGCACAATACACGCTAGGAGAGCTAGAGTCAAATTTTGCCTTCTTTGTGGTTCTACATGCCACCACCCAGGATGGCATAATACACTCTCCTTGCCGTGGTGACAGCTTACCTACCTCCTCATGCCATGATGTTAGCTGCTTTTGTATAATTTATTCTTGAATAAATGGCATTTAAGAACTTTAGCTAGGTTTTTTACCTTTCATTAACTCATGTAATTTGTTTAATCTTTAATCCTTTCACACAGAGAGGCCATTTATTCATACTTTGTACCTTTGCTGATCCATCGAAAGTGAATGTGTAGCGTGTTCCTCCCACACGACTATGAAAATGGGACTTTGCCTTTTATAAAGATTCTCATTAGTTTTCCTTACTGCGTAGGATATGACATAATCTACTTGAAGCCATTGAAGTAGTTAAGGCAAAATAATTTTTACACGTGATCGATCTGAGAGTCAATTGAAAGAATTTGAGGTATTTTAAATTCCTTCTTTCCTGGGTAGCTAAATCTGTTGGAGATATTCTGGATTTGACATTTAAAATTGGAAATTCATGACTTTGATCTTTCTCTAAGGTTTAGAATGTTGAGCTGATAAGAAAGGTCACTTTTGTCTGTGAAGAGGGAGAACTGTTAAAAAGCAATTACAATCTTGCTGTTGGCCTTTAATTTTATTCCGAGAAATGTTGGGAGGCCCTAGAATGAAAAGTAAAGTATAACCTAAATGGAATTTTTCCCCCAAAGAGAACTTCACAGTTACGAATACTGAGGAATGAATTTGGGTTCAGAACTATGTACATCACAAGTATGAACTCTTTTATAAAAAGCTCTTTCAAGACAATGTTTATTAAATAATAGGAATTTAATTATATATTTTATTTTAAGATGACTTTAAGCAGTATAGCACATAATTTCTCAGGAAAGGTTTTTTTTTGTTTGTTTGTTTTACTTTTTGGATGAAGAGTGCTTTTTGATCCTAGAAGTATACTAATGTATTTATTGAGTTTCAGTAGATTTTTGAACTCTCTAGTTGTTTCCCAACTTAGTTCCTGAGTCATTTGTTTTATTCTCATGTAGCTAGAAATGAAAGGGGGTGGGGAGGAATAGGGCTGTGGCTTCATTGCTTTTCCTTTCTTTTCCTTGTCTAGCTCATTTGACCTATAGTGTGGGTAGGAGAGAGGAAAGAGAGGAATAAGGAAGGTCCCGGGCAGGCTTGTTGCGTGAGGGAAGGAGGGGTAGTAGGGTTCGCAGAGAAATTGAACCAGCAGGCTGTGTGTGTGTGTGTAGATATAAATATAGATCTATTATAAGCATTTGCAATTGGGTTATGTGATTATGAGGACTAACAAGTCCCAAGATCTGTAGGGTGAGGCGGCAAGCTGAACACCCAGAAGTAGAATGCAGTGTCTGAATCTGAGAACCAGGAGAACCTGTGGTGTAGTTCCATTCCAAAGGCCAGTAGGCTGAAGACCTAGGAAAAAACCAGTATCCCAGTTCAAGGGTATTCAGGCAAGAGGAATTTGCCCTTATTTGAGGGATGGTCAGCCTTTTTGTTCTATTCTGGTCTTCAAATAATGGAGTAAGGGCAATCTACATTAGGAAGGGCAATCTGCTTTACTTGGTCTACTGATTTGTTAATGTCATTCACTACACCCTCATGGAAACGTCCAGGATAGTAATTGATCAAGTATCTGGGCACTCCAAATCAGGTTGACACACAGCATAACCACCACAGTAGCCAAGAATATATCTTAAAGAACTTCACATTAAAAACTCTCCATTCATCTTGGGGTGATACTTGCTTGAAGCCTTTATCCATTCAGTTAACGTGGCGGTCAAATGGGATGGTGATAACCAGAGGTTCGGATTATGGGTCCCAGATGCCTTGTTCTATTCTTCCATCTGTCCTGTGACCCTTACCCAATCTGTTCTCTCTCTAATCTAAGCCCCATCTTGACTGATAGGTTCTTTTTTAATATTATAGATCATTTTTCTCTGGGCACCATCTATCTCCAACTTAACACTTCAACTCAGAATATTTCAAGCTAACACTTTCTGTTATCTACTGGTGGTCCACATTGATGAATATATATTTTTCACATGAGTAAATGTATGTATATAAATACTCTGAGCAGTACAAAAAAAGTCTGCTTGTCATCTTTATGTATAATAATGCATACTCTAAAATTTCCTCTGAGCTGCAGAGGTGGGGTCATTGTAGGAATGTGATGAGATGTAAAGAAAGGCTCTGGTCAGTGAGAACCCTTCTCAAGCCCACCCTACCACAGAGTAGTATCAAGTCCATATTGAATATGGTGTTGAGTTGGATTGAGTTACAAGATGTAAAAATGAGCAAATAAAGTTTACATTATTTCATTCCTTACAACTTCTGGAATAAGCTATGTTTGTTTCATATTATAATACTTGACCTTTATAAGAATAGTTTAATTCCATTGTGGGCATTGTGAGCCCAAAGAGGGCAAACTAGTTGAAGTCAGTGATTGATTATTTCCCAGTTGGTAAAGCTTGGGAACTTCACAGACTGGATAGAGCAGGGTGTGGATTTTTCTTCTTCTTGTGCTTTGTGGGAGATTCTCCAGTGTGTTTTGGAATTTTCAGAAAAGACAATTAGGGGATTAATAGTATAAGTAAAAGCTCAAGTGACAAGTAAAAAAACAATCTGAAAATTATATCGATCAAGAAACATTGGGTTGTTAGACCTACTCTGAGCAAGCATTCCTCTGTTTACCCATCCATCCCGTGTTTCTAAGGGCAATGTTACTCCTCTCTTATCTGTTTTCTACCACTAGCTTCCCAACTTACCTTCCTCAGGATTGCATTTTGTCAAATACGGTAAGAATTCAGAATATCTCGATTTGGGTTTTTTGGGTCCACTTTTTGTCTGAGAAATGGTAACATATATTCAGCAGTGTACACCATATGTAGAGTTTTCATATAAAGTGAGCATCCCTGTAATCACCCTCCAGCTTAAGAAATAGAACAACGCACCCTAGAATCCTTTCCTTTTACTCTTTTACCAAATGTGACCCCCTCACCCTCCGTAATCACTATCCTGACTTTTATGGTGGACATTTCCTTGTGTTTTTAGAAGAAAAATTTTTTCATATGTATCCCAAACTATGATGAAAATCTATATAGCTTGGTTTTGGAATTTATATAATTGTCATTTTCCTGTATCGTTGTGTCTTTCTCTTTTTATTCTGCATTGTTTTGTGAGATTCATCCATGTTATTTTCTATGGCTGAATCTTATTCATATTCATTAATGTATTATTCACTTTACCATTATCTAAGAATGTACTTACTGTGGTGCTGGTGGACATTTGAATGATTACCAGTTCTGGGAAATTTCACAGGCACATTCTTGTGCGTATATCCTGGTGCACAAATGTTTGCTTTTCTGTAAAATATATAGCAACAGAACCCTTAGTTCATAGGATATGTGCATCTTCAGTTCTACTAGATAAAAATTACAGTTTTTCAAGGTGGTACTATCAATTTATATATGCTCTTCAGTTTGAGAATATGTGTTGCTCAACAAAGCCAAGACTTGGTATTACCAGACTGCAGAATGTTTGCTTCTCTGATGACTGTGTAGTGATATGTCCAAGTGGGTTTAACTTGTGTTTTCTTCATAACTGACAAAGTCAAGTGCCTTTCCTTCTGTCAGTGCCCTGGAATGTGGACACCCTCTTTCATGGGGTTTTGGTGTTGTTGTCCATTTTTATATTGGATTGTCTGCTTTTTCTCATGATTTATGAAATTCCTTTAACTTACCTTTTCATTCTTTATAGTGTTTTTTAAAATATATAGAGGTTTCAAAATGTTAACATTGTCAAATTTATCATCATTTTATTTCACATAGGCTTAAAAAATATGGACCAGAGTGATGATCATCTAAATAAATGTATTTTATTTCTAAATATTTGGTCTATAACATGCAGATTCAGGTCTTTTTATGCCCATAATTTCATAAGTAGATATTTACTGATAACATATAGTACTTTTTCTTATATAGCATATGAAGCATCTCCTAACCTTTTAATTCTTCCCTCTCCTTGGAATATATTACATAGATAGTGGTTTCTGAATTTTTTTTTATTGTTGGGGATTCATTGAAGGTACAAAGAACCAGGTTACAATGATTGCATTTGTTAGGTAAAATCCCTCTTATAATTATGTCCCACCCCCAAAAGGTGTCACACACTGTGACACCCCACCCCCCTCCCTTCTTCCCTCTGTCTCAGCTGATTTCTGAATTTTATGTGTGGATACTGAAATTTTTTCTGTATTTTCCTTTGCCAGTATCTTTGCATCATGCTAGTAATGATATCAGTCTCTTCCCCTTGGTACTTAGTTTGGTTTTATCCAGAAAGAGATGAGACATGTTTTTCTTCTATAAAGTAATGAATATTTTAACATTATTAAAAATGGAAAGTAGGTTACTTAAGTGCTAGTTATATATTTATGCATCTACAGAAGATGAATTTATACGCTTTATTTGTTGGATCATAAGGTATCTAGTAATTTCCTGTTAATTTTTTTCAAAGATCCCTCATGTCCATGATCCGGAAACGATCCCACCCCAGTGGCAGTGGTGCTAAGAAAGAAAAAGCAGCTCAAGCAGAAACAAGTAAGTGTCATTTCCACTTGGTTTGCTTTAAGTCAGCGGTTCTCAACCTGTGGGTCGTGACCCACAGGAAATGCATTAAAGGGCCTCGGCATTGGGAAGGTTGAGAACCACTGCTTTAAGTGGTTGATGGTGTGTAAGTTCTCAATAATTCGCATATTCTCTATGAAAAGGTTGTCGGGAAAGAAATGTGAAGAACTTATATAAAAATGGACCATGTAACTGTTGTTTCCTTTCTGTAGTTTATTGTCAGGAGGAGATAAAAATGTACATGTCACTGTAATGAGAGAGGTACTAGGAAGTATATTTTCATTAAGGGACAGGTCACATCGGAGAGAGAGGGAGGAAAGAAAGGGAGTGATTCCAAATGAGGCTTGGAGAAAAGGCTGCTTAGAGTTGACAGCAAGTGAGCTGCTACTTTATCAGGTACTTACTAGGTACTGCACTCTTGTGTACTGGAGGTCCAAGATACTCAAGTTAGGTTCTAGTGTAACAAGGCATAAAATAAACAAAGGACTATCCACGTAAATGTATAACTGCTTCATACAGTTGAGGAGGAGTACACATTTTAAGAGATTATAGAAGAAGACTTCTGGCTTATTAGAAAACTCAGAAAAAGTTAATTTGGCTAGAGCATGGGGTACAAGAGAGGTGGTCCGATAGGAAGGCAGGGGCCACATTCTGCAGGCTAAGGTGAAGGTTCTAGAATTTCTTCGAAGAGCAGTAGAAGTTTTAAGAAGGGATGTAAAATGACTTTTTAAAAAATAAGTACACAAACCCTGGCCTCAGTGGGTGTAAAGAGGACAGACTGTAAAAGGGGGACGAGTAGATGAGGGAAGACTATCACAGTCATTCAGATGAATGTTGATGGTCGCTTAGATGATGGTGGCTTTAACGAGGTGATAGTGGTAGAGACAGAAAGACATGGATGAATTCAGGAGCCATTAGGAAGGCAAAACTCACAGGACTCTAACTCACTGGAGGCATTCCCCTATGGAGGGGAATGGAGGTAGAAAGGCCTTGCTGTTGAACAGACCTCCAGATGGCTAGAGGCAGGGTTGGTTCAGAGAGCACTTTGCTCTCACTGTGGCTGCACACCAAAGGCCTGGAACTCTGGGGCCAGACCTTGGTCTTTGCGCCCACTGCTCTGATCCTGTAACCTCCATGCAAGTTCCAGGCACTTCCTCCATTTTCTCCTATTTATTAGTATTATAATTAATACCCAAATGAATGGTTGATTACAGTGCCTCGTGATAGCATTTTGCTTGCTGTTTATCAAATATTTAGGTCATTAGTCTACTGATACTTCTTTACCTCTGTGCCTCAGGTTGTTAATCTGTATAATGAGGGTACTAGTAGGTAGATCCTATTTCATAGGGTTGTTATGAGAATTAGTGAGTCTTACAACATAAACAGTGTTTAGAATAGTATCCAGCGCAGAAAATACTCAAAATGTTAGCTAAAAAAATGGGCATGTTACCAGCCACCCTTTCAGAAGGACAAGGAGAGTCTTCATTCAGAAGGTTCTTGTAATTATTGTAGTTAAGGAAATTTCCTTAACTTTATGACCTTATGTCAAAGTTGAACTTATTCAACCATAGTGTATTCTTTAGAAATTTTGCACATCACGGCAGCGTAAGATTATTTAAAATGCCTTTTTAAAAAAAAGTTAGTGCAAAGGAAGAGTAATCCTGTGGAATTCAGAAACTGGTTTTAGTTTTTCTAGGTAGTACAGATTTTATTGAGTAAGAAGGTGATGGTTTTGTCTGCAGGTCTTTTTTTTCTTTTTTTGAGGAACTAACTTATTTTTGAAGTGGGTCTTAAAATTTAAGCCCCAATTAATTACATGTAGCTTTCTGATCCAAGACTGACCTTGAAGCACTAACTCAAAGAACATTTGATTTTATTTTCCTGTGGCAGTTCAATAACATTAGACCTGTTGTCTTCATTTGTCCCTTTTCTTTAATCTCCAGTATCCTGCATATTTCCATTGTCCCCCTGATTACATGCTTTTGTGAGACAATTACCAACTGTGTGATTGCAGAAAGAATTACAAAACATACCATGAGCTCTCTGTAGGTGATTCTTGCAGATTTATTAGAACTGCTTAATAGTTTAGAAGTTCGTATAGATTGCTTTTTGCTGGTTCAAAAACAGGGTTGGTGAGAAAGAAAGCTCGTGTAGCTAAGCTAGCGTTGCCCTTGTATTGCGCCTGAGTAGGGAATCTGATAAGAGTGATTTCTTTTCCTTAAAACCAATTAAGCTTTTACATTTGAAAAAGACTGAGAAATTAAAGCCTGGTTTATAATCTGCGTACAATACAGATAGTGGCACTTCTCTGAATTATCACTATGATTCTGGCAAGCAAATATAAGAAACTACTTTAAATTCCTGCTATGTTAGATGCTGTAGCAGATTTGAATGGTGTTGACCATAATTCTCCATCTGTCTGCCTTAATTAGTTTTTGTATGGTGCATTTAATTGGGTTTCAGTCATTCCTTACAGAGTGCTAATCCGTTTGTAGGCGGTGTTCCCATTGCCGTGCAGCTCTTCCTAGTCTCAAAATGGCAGCCTTTTTCTGAATAATCAAATGTTTTTTTGAAAGTATTTTCTAAATTCCCAGCAATAAATGCCACACACATACCAGGTCCCTGAATGGCAGATCGGGGCTTTATCTCCCCTGATTTTGAATAGAGTGAGAGAAAGCACTGTGTAATGCACAGGAGATGCTCATCTATCGTGTGAGCGAGTCAGTGAACAAATGACTTTCTCTCGGTGGTAGTTTATTTGTCTGTCCCTTCTTGATGTTTATGAGCCTTACAGGGATGTCCAACCTGCAGCATGTGGGCCACATGTGAATAATGTGAGGACTTTTGGCTTATCTGTGGTAACGGATATCATGAAAATTATTCATGGACCTACCCCCCACCCCACCCACTCATCAGCTTTTGTTGGTGTTTGTGTATTTACTGTATGGCCTAAGGCAATTTTCCTTCTTTTGGTGTGGCACAGAGAAGCCAAAAGGTTGGATGCCCCTGCAAGAAGCTGCCCACATGCGCATGGTTAATCCACCCCTGGTTTTGCCATCTCTCAGTTACTAGTGGGCGAGTTCTAACTTTCATGACCATGTTTCCCATGTTGCCTGGCAAAAGAGATTGAACTTCTTGGATCTGAAAAATGTTGTTTAGCTGTTGAGAAATTTAAATTCCCAGCATTTCATTGATTTCTGAGGATGGCAGAACTCATATCTGAAGTCAAGACTATTAGAAAACTCACTGTGTTTTTGGTCAAGCGAGTCTGCAAGAGAAACGTATTTCACTATTTGGATCAATAGAGTTAAGTTCACCTCAGTTGCTATCATCTAATTTGCAAACATCTCAATTCATTTCTTTATTTGGCAGCAAAATAGTGCAAAGGTTAGACAATAGATAGTTGACATTTTTAAATTAAATGTAATTACTTAATGGCAGCTACTTCTAGATATATGTTTTCTTTAACATTGAAAATTTTAAGAGACCTGAAAAAATACTTGCTTAAATATTTCCTTTCCACGTGATTCCTAAACAAAAGATGACAATTTAAAAGTTGATTTTATTTATTTGCTCATCTTTTTTAGACTATGGATTTATTCCAACTGTGAAACAGCTCTTTGATCTTTTTATTTTTCTAATGAGTTTTTGGTAGTTACTGTTTCTTTGGACTGAGCTAGCAGAGAAGTTATAAGAACATTTATGTTTTAAGACAAAAGATGAATGAATATTTGGGATTAGATACAGGGCTGAGTTTTTAAAGACCTGGAGAAAATCATGTTGACAAATGAACAAATTCTACTTTATTTAACACAGGTGACTTCTGTGCTACAAATGTTTATACTTGGATTTTTTAATCACTTTTTTTTTTAATGTGGTAGCTGTTCACCTTAGTAAGTTATTGGTGTTCTGCCACTCTGTCTGAAAAATGACTGTGATTAATTACACAGTGTGGTTTTCTAGGTCACCCAAAATAGGAAATAGCTGTTTTCTTGTAACATAAGATGATTTATTTCTGTGTTCTTTGAACAGCTGAAGAAGTCACTGATCTAAAGAGGCAAGCAGTTGAAGAGATGATGGATAGAATTAAAAAGGGAGTTCATCTTAGACCAGTTAATCAGACAGCCAGACCGAAGTCAAAGGTATGGAGTGGCTAAAAGTTTTCTCCTCCCTTGATATTTCCTTTTTTAAATGTAAAAATGTGAAGGTTGGTAAAAGGTACATCAGGACCGACTGTCCAATCTTAGGCTAAAGCTTATGTATCATAAAAGCTTTTACTTCCATAACAGCATTTTTTTTTTTTTTTTTTTTTTGAGACAGAGCCTCAAGCTGTACCCCTGGGTAGAGTGCTGTGGCATCACAGCTCACAGCAACCTCCAACTCCTGGGCTCAAGCGAGTCTCCTGCCTCAGCCTCCCAAGTAGCTGGGACCACAGGTGTCCGCCACAACGCCCGGCTATTTTTTGGTTGCAGCCATCATTGTTGTTTGGCGGGTCTGGGCTGGGGATTCGAACCCGCCACCTTAGGTGTACGTGGCTGGTGCCTTAGCCGGTTGAGCTATAGGCGCCGAGCCCATAACAGCATGTTTTAAGAAGATTCTGTTTGACCCTTGGTGAACCTAAATCAGTATAGAAAGGGAGCCATGTTATTTGCAGGGTGCTATCATCTCTTCGAGAAAGACATTGATATTAGCTATTGTACCAACAAGTAACAATTATTACACTCTCTTTTTCTTTGACTCCTGATTCTTTTGCTGTTCTGTTATATTTTATGTGCCAGGTACTGTTCTGGGGCACTAGGGATGAAGTGATACACAAAATAGGCAAAAACCCTTGTCTTCCTGAAGCTTCCAGTTAGTGGGGAGAATCACATAAACATGGGAGAACAGAAGAACTAAGACAGCTTTTGAAAAACAGCGAGATATATGTGATTGTTTTTCCTTCGTTTCACAAATGTATTTCAGGTCACTTCAAGGAGAAAATTGTGTACGTGTTTGTGTATCGTGAGCTGTCTCGGGGATCTGTCAAGGCACTTGGAGTCTAGTTCAGTGCTTCTCCTCTCCCTTTGTGTATCTGTTGCAATTCAGTAAGCCCACTAGTAGTTTTTGACATTTCCTGGACAAATTTTCTTTCTTTGTTCACTCTAATTAGGTATGATGAACAGATGGGTTCTCCTTTTCCTTCTCCTCTTCCTCCTTCTCCTCTTCACGTTCCCCCTCCTCCTTCTTTTCCACCATACTTTGTGGTTTGGTTCTTTCTTCCTCTCAAGTATTCCCCTCCTCAGCTGCTTAAATGTCCCTTAGTGTTAGGACTGTTCAGCACCAATTCCAGTGGACTTTCTAAAGTTGCCACTTTGTCCCAGGCAGGTGAGATAGCTAGGCAAGGCAGGAGGGACCCTGGTGTGGGCTGTACATGGAAAGTGAGTTGGAAAGAGAGATGAATACTCATCTCCAAGAGTAGATTGACATCTAGTGAAACAGAAGCTTTGGCCAGCCATGTAAAGTAGTTCAGGCTTGTGCCAGTGATCAGAAAGCAGTTTTCAAAGTGAAGGACAGAACGTAAACGTGGAGGGGAAGCCGAGTGTGTAGAATGATCTGGTGCAGCTGTCCCAGTGCTCCTGTCTGGCAAGGGAGTGAAGAGCGGCATTGTTGAAGTCAGACCTTGGCACTGTCACCAGCTTCCCATGCTTTTTCTCTTTTCAAAAATGGGGATTGCACCTGCCATCTGACCCCACAGGATTGTTGTCAGGGTCAAATACAATAAAGTATGAAAACACTTTAAAATGCAAGGTCTGAGTGCCATCGTTGAAAAAGAATACATTTTTATGACTTTCCCATCACCACAATTATGGAAAGAATAAGCAAAACCAAACTCTTAGTAGAAGAAAATGCAGTGCCATAAAGAAAGAAAGTTAGTTTAGAAAGAAAGATGTTGCAATCAACGTTCAGTACATGCTTTCATTTTCAGAATATCACTTTGTGCTTTTTCTTTCTTTCTTTCTTTCTTTTTTTTTTTTTTTTTTTTT